TCAGCCTCGACGCGTTCTCTTCCGCTAAAATTCGCTCTTCATCTAATCGCATTGAGTCTGAAGACAGGGATCAATTTAACCAGAAAGCTTTTTTATGCAAAGTCAACAGCCTGAACTAATGTCTAGAAATCCATCAATAGAAAGAGTTTGTTCAATGAGAATTCCCAATTGTTGGGGTTGCGGAGAAGAGATAATGCGGGGAAAAGTGAGGTGACATCGGGTGGTAGCAAGGGCCGTTGTCCCGCATGGGACATGTGACATGATTGGTTGGAATCCAAACAGATTTTCTTATATAACCAAAGTGAACGTCGTAGTCAATATTCTAAGCGCGATAGGAATTATACGATTATTGTGTAGTGGTGGTCTTTGCAAATTGCCTCTTACACTTCCCACTCACCTCCGTTGCCCATCAGGGACACTTCGAAGGGTAGATTTTCTATCTGGAGCAAAGACTCCAAAAAGAAAGAGGAAATCTCTGGAATCGTCTTCACACAATTCTCTGAGCACGCGAATCTAACTTTTTTACCTCGAAGAAGTTCACTACCTGAACCAGGAACGCAATGTCATCCAGGTACGATAATAAGCTGGAGCCAGTCGTCTCAGAAGGCCTAGGCGACTTCAAACATGCCGAAGAGCATGTGGAAGAAGTCACTATTGCTCGTCTAACTGAAGAGGACTTATTCCTGTTATCTCAAGAATCGCTGCAATTCAAATCATGGACGTCGTTTCGGATCTTCTTGATGATGTTCGTACAAGGCTGTGGTGCCGCCGGATACGGTATCGATTGGGCTGTCATTTCTGGAATAAATGCCTTCAAACCTTGGCACACTTACTTCGGATTTGGCACAAGCGGTGTGACTTATGGTACCTTGAACGCGTTGATGACTATCGGAACGATTTGTGGCGCTCCATTCATGGCGTTTGCTGATATTATTGGACGACGGGGCATCAATTTCACAGGAAACTTTATTGTTCTAGTTGCATCTTTTCTGCAAGCGTTTTCGGTAAACATGCCAATGTTTATGGCCGGCCGTTTCTTTTTGGGATTTGGCTCAGCACTTATGTCCAGTCCCCAGTACGTCGCGGAAGTAGCCCCAACGCATCTCAGAGGTCGACTCGTTGGGCTATTTGGGGCTTGCTTTCAAGTTGGAAGCTTGTGTATGAACGCTGGATTAATAGGATTAGCTCGCATTGAATCAGATTGGTGCTGGAGAATTCCTCTGGTGCTGGAAGGATTGTTTCCATTGATTGTGTGCTTGTTCATCTATCCCTTAACACCAGAATCACCACGTTATCTCATCATGAGAGGACAAATGGAAAAGGCCAAGAGGGTTATCGCTAAGATGCACACCACAGAAGGCAATAACGTGGATCATCCTTTGGTTACCATTGTTGCCAATCAGATTGAAAAATCCTTGCAGAACGAGAGACAAAGTAATCATGCTTGGTGGGACTACCGTGTGCTATTCCATGGTAGACCAGCACAGTATAGAGTGTTAGTTCTTGTACTGTACTCAATATTTCAACAATGGAACGGTGGCGGCATCATTGGACAGTATCTCGTACCTGCTTTAGACACTGTCGGAATTACAGGAACCACCGAGCAGCTGGGTATGAACTTCGGACTGAATGCGACTTATTTGGTGTTTACTGTTTGTGGTTCCTTTATAGTCGACAGATTCCGAAGAAGAACTTTGATTTTCGCTGGATTAATCAGTTTTATTCTCTTGCAAACAGCCGCCACAATAACCTCCTGGCAGTACACATTGACCGAGAGCAAAGTGGATGCTGGACTTGTTGTGACTTGGCTTTTCTTGTTCCAAACTTGCTCCTCTTTGCTGATCGCGACAATGCATAACCTTTACCCCGTTGAAGTTTTATCGCTTGATATGAGAGCGAAAGGTATGGGTTTGTATGCTCTCGTGCAAGGTGCAGCTGGAACAGTTCAAAATTATGGCATCTCGGTTGGCATTCAAAAAATTGGATACAAGATTTGGGTCGTGTATGTTGGGTATAATCTCATACAACTGATCCTCTCATATTTCGTATTCCCAGAGACCTCTGAACTGACTTTGGAGGAAATTGATACTGTGTTTGAGACATCAGGCGTCAGACCGGTAAAGATGTCCCTTGATATCCAGAAGGCGAAGAGAGAAAAGGAAAAGCTCGAGGCTGAAGGTTTATCCAGCGGTGTTCAGTATTGAGAGAAGGCAGGATAAATGAAGACCATCATGGCATCCGCCATGGTGGATTATCTGAAGGGGGTAGGTGTTAGGTTCTTTAAGATAAACATGAATTCCATTTATCAATTTTCCAATGGAAGAACTTTCCCCATATTTCTGAATGAGGTTTATCATTGATACACAAATGACACGAGAATCTGTAGAATTTATAATCATGAGAATTCTGTGCTATTGAATGGACGACATGATGAAGGTGCAAACGTGTTATGAGCAAACGGAAGGCTCGGTAATTTGAAATTCGGCTGACTAATTCAAGTTGATCACGAAACTCGGTCATCATGACAAAATGCCAAAACTTTTACACCCAACCAGAATTATTTCAAACAAGTCAGATATCTTCACTAAATTGATATTCTTGCTACAATCGAATGGAGAGCCCGAGACTGAAATTTTCAACACGATCTCTCCGATCTTCACCTCTTCACTCCGGACTGCATGAAAACACTCGCGACACAATATGTCCGACATCTGAAATCTTATACAAATGAAGTCGCATCCCTATACCTGACATTTTAGCTCATGGATATGTCGAATATACAGTCTCCCCTTCCTCTGGTTGCTGCAGAAAGTCGGCCGGAACGTCCGCAGGCACTTGTCGCTGTTCGGCCCAAATTTTCACAGCATCGAAATCTCGACACCTATGTTTGGTATTAAAATCTTGGTATGCCTCTGGGGCTTCTGGGTGAACCCATATTTTACCCATAACGCCAATGTCAACTGTACACATCAATTGCTGACGAATAATATCAAGGCACTGGGCTGTCGAAATCGCAAAGGTTAGTATTTCTTAGGGGTTTTCCCACACGGTTAACTTACAAACGTGGAGCTTTAATATTGAAATGTCATTTTCGAAAGCGCCTTCTCCTTTATTTTGATAATAGTCATAGTTATACCACAATCCTTGTCGAAGAAGATTCAAGCAGTTAAGATGGCTTAAACCTTCAACATTGGCTGGGTAGCCACCACCATATTTCTCATTGATTTTCACCTTATCAGTAGTGATTCCGGACCTCGCTGCCAATGTTGCAGGAATGACAACCTCACGAAAATTAATTCCCAAATCATTCCAGGCCGCATCAACTTCCTGGCCTGCATCTTGGCGATACTCATTGGGTTGTGGAAGTGACCCATTAAAACTCATCGTGGTATACGAAAGGCTCATGTCTTCGAGAATCAGGGCTGTGATAACACTATTTGTTAGTCATTGATTCCTTCAGCAAATAGCCATACAGAAAAGCGAACTTACAATATTGTGAAATATAACCAGTGCATAGTCTTTCAGTGCTGCGACCCCAACGACCACTGATCCAGAAGCCAATCAAGCAGATACTGATGAAGAAGATGAAGAAGACGAAGACTAGGAGAACCTGCGAGCAAAGATTTTCCCCCTCTTCTTCTTGCCTTCTATATTCGGGTGCCAGAAGGGGTGTTCGATTTGTTGGCCACGCTTGACGAGGAATCTCTTCGAAAACATAAATTTTATCCGTGAGCCTGGTTCTCATTTTGGAAGTTTGATTATGGACTAGTTAACAAGAAGAATACTTGCTTCTAAGAAGGTGAAAGTACGTGGTGTTTGGTATTAGGATGGTTTTCAGAACACGGCATTTTGGGACTTCAGAAAAATGGATCATGTTTCTCGACAATTATTGATCTGCATCAGTGTATGGTTAATGTCTGAGGTGGTGAGCTTGATTCTATCGTGAGGTAATAATCTGAAGTCAGTATTGGTCTGCTCCGCCGCCTGATTCAGTGATTATTTCTCTCCAAAACAATGTCTTCAAAAGAATGAAACATTTGTGCAACTTGGGTAAGCTATCATATCGAAAATTGGGACTGGATGTTCTTCAGATCATCGTCGTTATGTCACATGTGTGAAGCAGTAAATTTTTTCGCTTGTTATATCTCTTCCAGCGCATATCGAACCTGGATGTTCGAATCACAGATACTCCATCTTTATCCATTTGCTCTTGCATGAATATTGGAGATGCAGTATCTGGGGGTGATGCTCTTAAAATCCAATATCTATGTTTGTATCACGATACCAGCGATATGATTACTTTATGGTTACCTTGTGCACCTGGAATTGAGACTCTGTACCACAGTGCTACGTCGGATTCAAGTACCACTTCGCTTCATGGAACATGAGATGGAACACCTTTACACAATGCCTATGTGATGTCTGTTCCGAAGACTATCAAAAACCAAGATATTTTCTGATAGATTTCCTGTCAATATGTGGAAGTACCTCGCACGCCAGATGCTTTTGCTCAGACTCGTATATGTGGGATACTCAATCCGGAGAGTTAGTCTGAGCTGTCTCTGTACTGCGTACTATCGCGACTGATAGCTAAATGAGGAACTATCAATTTCGATCTCTATCACTACCAAGGTTTCCTCAATGAGATTCCATCATTTCCCGACCCATATCCAAGTATATTTCAACAATTTTCTCCAACTATAAAATACTACTCTCATCGCTCAGCCAGTACAATTGTATCTCATCGGCAGTCACATAACCTCCTCTAATCTCCCTTCCCGGTATGTACAATGAAACCAAATTCGTCACCAGCATACTAGTTCTAGTTTCCATCGTCTGCATGATCATAATCATCCTCTTTCTCTGGGTCTACATATATTCTCGTCAAATTCCATTACTCTCATCCTTCCCGTCCCATCATCCGCACCCTATTCTTCTCCACCCACCGTCACGTACAAATTTTCATATTTACTCTCTCGAATCCCCAGCATACTCATACGATGCAGTTGCTCTCTGAATTTACTTTGGCGCTGGCCATGGCTGCTGGCGCGATGGCCGGTGCTTTAGATGCCAGTGCAAGTGGTACTGGGACTTTGGTTTCGACCTCGAGCGCAATTTCTTCAAGTGCTACTTCAAGTGCTAGCACGGCGACTGCCACAACTACCACTACGGCCAATCCATACGGTGCGTACGGACAATATGGGAACTATGGAGCATATGGAAGCTATGAAAGCTATAAGAAGAGAGCGACGAAGTAGTGCTACGGAAGTGGAAGGTGAGTCATTGTCTGAAGAGAGTTTTAATCAGGACTTACTTGTGTAGGATCGCTCTGGGTCTTAAGCTGTCGTCTTTCGGCGAGGGGTTTCTCTTTTCGGAGGTGCACTTTCAGTTTTGGGTGGGCGTTTGTCCGGTAGCTTGGAGGTTTCAGTTGTGTTCAGACGTGGGATCTGCTTGAATGTCATTCGTTTCCCGTGTCATCACGATCTCCTACCGCACTTTAATGATTGGTGGATACCGCGATTTATTCTTCATTGCAGAGCCTTAGATGATATAGTTGGAAGAATATATTCTGTCAACAACATAAGCTCAAATTTTCTCCCATTCGGAACTATCTTTAAGGTTTCCTGGCTTTCGCCTGGGAAACATGAATATGGTCAGTGTAACTATGATTGGCTTGTGTAATCCGTGGAGTAAATTTAACGGATATTCAAATCTTGGGTGGTAGATGTGAGATTAGTTGTGACTTTGGCTTCTTGGCCATCATCGCTATCTACCGTCGAGTTGGCATTGCAGCTGAATGATAATTGCGAGAACGGAATGGACAATGACTCCTACAATTTAGTATCATTGAAACTTGTGTAAGATTGACAAGCTGAATCTCTTCAGCACGAAAAAAGTCACGCGAGCCAAGAACTGTATGATAATTTCCAACTTCCTGCTGAACACGTTGAGTGCTCGCTTCACTGGGTCACTTCTAAAATGGTGAATACGAAGGGTACTGATGCCTCTTTTAAAAAGTACGTAGCAGGATCGCGTTCATTTTCTCTGGCATTATTATGCACCGAGTACCTAAAAACTGGAAACATCCAGACATACTCATCTCAACTAATTTTACTGACCTCAAGAATTTCTAAGCTTTAAAAATCTTGGAACCCCCTTCACATAACCTCTGAAATATACCTTTTGGGTGATAAATTTCACCAATTTCTCTCGATTTCTCCAGTCTCTTCTCCCCATATCCTTTCAATGGATTCTGCTACCTTGCCGCATAATTCAAGTATTTAAAATCACTGCCCACACCCTTTTCGCTCGCCGCCTCATCGATATCTGAAATCAATTTCCTTGCAGCCATCGTTATCTTTTCGTCGTCTTCGATATTCTTCAATTGTAAGAAAGGAGAAATAAAGTAAGAAGACCTGATGAAAATGAGAGGCCAAGATAAATGACTCCCTCGCATTGATCCACTGCAGTAATCGGAAGAGGTTGGATTGTCATGGCCCATTTCACACCAATGATGGAGGAGATGGAAAGAATGCTCAATCTCCAGGTTGAATGGACGGTTTGAAGAAATCCTAAGCTTCCGCCAAAGGTAGTGGTTGCAAATTGATTACCAGGTCATATCAGCATTTCATTGATCAGAGCGCCAATTCTTTTGGAAGGGAAACAAACCATAAGCCAGACGCAGCATATTTTCCAGCCTCAGTAGCGAAGTCTGCAAGATTTGAAATACGCATAATATTCAAATATTGAGGTTTCGCATCAAGAAACGGTTTCAACGTCTTCGGGCTCGGCTCATTTTTTGTGTACTCGAGATTACTGAAAATCGAATATCCATTTCGTTTTTGGTTCCGTGATATACTCATCATGGTTGCAGCATAGGGGTCGGAATTCTCGAGAAAATCCGCAGATCCTTTCAGCTGCGAGTCAAGTATCGAAATATCGTGGACAATGCATCCGCCAAAAAAATTCTCTTGCGGGAAAGTTCGAATATCAAAGCGTGTGACGACGCCAAAGTTATTGGAGCGATCTTTCAGGGCTTGCCAGAGATTGCGATTCTCGGAGCAATTGGCATTTACAATACTTCCATCGGCGAGAACAACTTCGTAGTTTTTGACATTGTCACATACTAAACCTTCTCTGGCACTGAAAAACGAAATGCCTCCTAGCAAACCATTCATTAGTATTGGGAAGTTTAAGCAACATTCTGAAGGGTCATCTCATACCACCAGTAGTCAATCCCCCAACCCCAACGTCAGCGACTCTCCCGCCGCTCGTAGCTCATCTTAAACCATCTACAACAGAGTATACTTCACCCCATCTTGCCCCGCCCCCAATGGATACTAATGTCTGTTTTCTATTGACCGCTACTTTATTCAAAGCCCGAAGGTTGATTGTGACTTCGCTTTCAATATTCGCAGCTCCGGCATTCAATGAATGACCACCGCCTCGGATGGCGAATCTTACTCCACGTTCCATGAGTATCTTCACTATTGTTGCAACTTCAGTGTTGGTAGTCGGTGTTGTTGTGCATGCCGGAGACAATGACCGGGCTTAGGCTGAGAAGTAAGAGTTCTGTGCTGACAGATAGTCTGGATCATGGTGATCTGCGGCTTTTCCTTGCAAGGAATCGCGCAATGCTGTAATCTAATCTTGCCGTTAGTCAGAAATTTGACGAGACTTATGTTCTGATTACTTGCAGATGCTTTAAGTTCTGTCACAACTCATCTAATTTTCACAATGTATTTATTCGAATCAAATCAAGTTCATAGTAGCAGTATGCCGTAGACAAAGAAGGAAGCAATGAGTATGCCTTTTGACACGAATATGCCAACACGAAAGATAACAAAAATGTTACTTAACCAACAAAATGGTAAGCCTCGTTCGTGTGAAGCAACATCTTTACTGTTGGTTAAAGGACCGAAAGTTCCGATCGAGATTGAGAAACAATGCTTAGCCGGGTTACTCGCATTTGAAAAGCGGAATAAAGCCATACAGTTGTTGTTGGTATGCAGTTGGAAGCAATTCCTGCATGTAAGAAGGCAATGTTGATCCGAAACGAATGTTGCTGTTGGCACGAGATCAAATCAGAGGCAGAAGACTTCCGATCCTATGTAGCGAAACTTTATCTGTTAGATGTTCCCTATGGAATCGAGTTTGAAGGGAGATTCCGTCATGCTCAAATAAGGTCCTCGTGTAGAAGCTGTCTAGATAGGTATTGAAGATTGCTGACTTCGTTAAAACCAAGCTTGACGAGATTCGAAGTCGCAAATTGCGAGATGTAAAATGTGGCTGCAGCCTGGGCCATATTGTCGGAACTTGGAACAAGCGAATCGACAGGGAGTTCGGACCATCATGAAGTTTCTCATGTGAAGTGACACCGCTGGACTATATTCACTTGATTAAGCCAACAAAGTAGATGTAATTTTGAGCTTTTCTTTTCGAAAATCTGAATCCTTATGTATTCTCCCATTTGTCCAAATCATCTCGATAGTTCCAATTGAGCAAATGCAACGAAGGGCGTAGTTATACTCGAAACACGAGCTCCGGAGAATGCGAGTGGCAATGACAATTGAGAGCGATACAGCGGGAACCAATGTGACCCTGTTATGGGCGGTGGTATTTCGGAAGACTTACATCGCCACTGGCTCTCACTCTAGCCCAAATACAATTCGGTCCCAAGTTATCAACTTTAGAGACGAGCTTCGTACATGTTACAAGAAGATGTACCATCAGGGGGCCAGCTGGATCAGGCTTTCAACAGGAAACCAACCATTGCGTATGTTTTTACAAAATTTATGAGATTTTATTTTTGTTCCCATGCGAAACAAGCTCTTCGTAAAATTCCCGTTTAGCATTTTGGAGATCAACATTCAGGCCACTATGACACCGAATTGCCCGAATCTCGAAGATCTATCGATGAGAACCATATCCGGCATATTTTGATCTGGCATGATAAAGCATTGGATGTACTGACAATCAAAGCATTATCGACCTTCTTGGTCTGGTGTCGTGCAATCCCTGAGTGAAGATTCACAGCCAGTGAAGCAGAGAAACCTTGAGATTAAACGCGACAATGGCGGCATATCACAAGTGCATATTTTTCGTCGCTCTTTACTCAGATTCGCTTCCGCCAAACATGAACGGAAATGGTTGCAAAGTTCTTACGATGATCACGTGCAGATCATATCCCCCCTGATCCTGCTCGGAAGTTCGCTCTTAATTACCGCGACCAGTTCCAGTAAGCCATGAATTCTTTCTTTCCTGTTACACTGCAGCGTCGCATCACCGTTATCTTTCAATTCTCAAACGGAAGATTTCTCCATTCTTATTCAAACGACGTTCTTCACAATGCTCCATCAACATCCTGTGAAACATCCGATGATAACCTTCCTCAAACAGGCGGTGAACCTCTAAGTGGCATAAGCTTTCATGCTTGAGTCTCCACCATTTCCCCGGAGCCTAAGCGTGTGATCATAACTTTACTGGGGTTAGAGTAGCAGTGTGAAGTATCCTAGTGGGTACCCCAGCGAGGCCAGGAAAGAAATTATCGCACAAACTCATCGTTTGCTGCATATACGGAAGAGGTTCGCCGATGGTTTAACCATTGTATAGCCCGCTATACATGAGTCTCGCGTCCTTTTGGAAGGAGTCATCTCCTGCTTACAGAGCTTGGAAATTCTCCGATCATGCGTCAGATTTTTTTCTTTCTCAAAATTCTATCTTACGGACGTATTGCAAAATCTAGAATTGCATGCTGATATAGGCTTACTATAGCATGATTAGGGTTCGACTCGTCTGACACGATAGTTCGTATAGACTAAACCTTAATGGAAGCCATTAGTGTGTAGGCGACGAAGATAGATCGCCATGCATTTGTTTGATGGCCGAAATGAATACGCCTTGAACCTTATGTGAATCCTAGGTACTCGATTTCGATCGTTCAGATATCTGGATTCTTTTGCCTTGCATCTCTACTTATTAAGGGGTTTAATATTGATATTTGATTCCAAGACGCGTTTGATTGAAATGAAATTCGCTCGAGCGCTTTTTGATATTGGAAATTGTACAGGGTTTCCATCTCAAATATTTCTTCGGACTCGCTAATGTATGCCAAAATCGTTATCAGTTCATCTTCCTCATTTCCCCAACGTCAGGTCCACAGAACAGTCGTCTCAAAATTTCCATAAACATGGATCTAGGTTTATGATGTAGTATGTGTATATTGAACAAGGATGATATCGGAGGTTCCACATTTCTGGGTCGAGGAATTAAGCTATCCATGCATCTAAAGTCATCGATAACGTGCTAAGGGGTGAAGGATTCAACTATTCATAGCTGAAAGCCAGCGGTTGCAGCTTGCCTGTGTAACATCAGGCAAAAAGACACTTGGACAGGATCACGTCCCTGGAGCCAATGATAGAAGACAGATATCGGGCGGGTATATGTAGGTCAATGGATATCCCGTGTCTATAGACAAGGCAGGCTACTAAAAGTAGTTGTTACGGACGAGATTCGGGGATCGTGAATGGTGCTTTCATCCACGTGCTCGGGGTCTTACTTGTGGGCTGTGACAATCTTGGGACAACTGCCCCCAAACTGCCCTCAGACCCTGGCCCCGAACTGTGTGTAATGTCGCCGTCACACCTTTCGCTAATACTCCTATATGGACTGAATGAAAAGTTTTTAGTCCATTACACTCGTATCTCCTATACTGATGCTTAGGGATTGACCTTCAGAATGACTATGTTAGTGATAATCAAAACTTGAGAAACGCAAATCGCACACAATTGTCCTTCCAAATTTTTGCCAATGGAACAAACGCGAAATTGAAAGCAGCAACAGCTAATGTCTATAAATGCTATAAACTATCAAAACTTCCATGGTATCAACCGCTAAATTCACAGTATTATTCAAACAGAACCAGATCGATATTCATAACCATTGATTCATTTATTCATGATTTCAGTTCCATCTCAACATCTTCCAACACCATAGGTCCTGTGAAAATTGCCCCCTTGCGCAGAATATGAATAACCCCATTCCCTCTTTGGCTCTTCTTGCGCCTCGTACCCAGGCTTTTCCTCTCTCACTCTTGACATCAGCATCTGATTATTCCATTGCGGCATCTGCCACTCGTACATTCCTGGATCTGGCTTGAAGATATCATCGTAGCTCCCAGGAACCTCCGGCATTGCTCCCATGAATGTTTGGAAGGGTTGCGAGCCCCAATGATGTGAAGGTCCCATGTTGTATTCGGTAGGCTCGGGAAGTTGACGATTGAGAGAAGGAGCTTGAGGTAGACCATTTGGAATGGCAGGCCATGTGGTTTCTTCGTAAAGTCCATCAAGATCACCCAGTTCAGGTGCTGGAGATTGGCCGGCTGAGTGAATGCTGGATTCTGAGGTTGGGGGCGATGGTATTGATGCAGTCATACCATTCCATGGAACAGGGTGATGTGATTCGAATCTCTGGTGACCTTCAGCTTCCGGATATGATCTTGCGTTATCCACCACAATTGTAGATGGCGACCTTGATCTAATAGTGGGTGTGTTCATTGGTGGAGATAGTAATTGGTGACTGCCGACTTGATCCTGAGAATCTGATTGAATGCTGACTTTCATCTTTCTGTCTGCTCTCGTGGTTGTTTGTCTGCGTTTGGTGCCTTCGTGCACATATGATGGTCTTCTTGTAGCAACAATGTTTCCGTCTGCGTCTCTCCAAAGTCTTTTTCTAGTAGCCAGTACACCTAGTCCCTCGCCACCAGCTTCATCATCTTTCTCCTTGTGCCGATTCATGTGTCTGTCTACGAAGAATGTTAGAATTGAGATATTTGGGGAACGAAATAATTTCACTTACCAAGAAGATCTCGACGTCGGAAATGTGCACGGCATCGCAAACAGGTGTGATTTCCATCCTTGTGATTTAACGCATGACGGTGTAAATGTTCACTCCTTGAAAACGACTTTCCGCACCCCGCGAAACTACAGCAAAACTTCTTCTTCCCAATACCTGCATTTGTGCTATCGTTCAAACTTTTCGAACTCAATGTTGAACTTATTGAAGATGTGCGAGAGGATGATGAATTTGTGAGTGAAGACATGGTGATGTCGACGATAGTGATATGATAAGAGTGAAGTTCAAGCTTTGACTGTTGTCCTAATTCCAATACTGGTAATTGAGTTCAGACTATATAATAAATATCGAAGAACGGGGAAAAGAGGGGTCCAGCACTAAGGTATATATCTAGTCACGGAATAATTTCCACTCCACTGACAATCATCCTATCTAACCACTGGCTCAATTTCCATTTATTTAACACTCCCAAGTTTCACCCACTCAAACACCGGTTATCGGGCATGGTGCACATACGTACATGATAATACATGGTTCCTCCAGGGCTCTCCACAACTAGTTTATTCAAGATTTCCACTGCCACTCCTAACAGGGTGTTAGGTCAGACTAGTCAATCGCGAATTGCGAGGAATTGACATATTAAACCCGACCTGTCAATGGGTAAAGCTACCGAGTTGAGTAGGATATCCATTCACAAATCCTTTTGTAGTTCATGTCTTGTGTGATAGGCATTTAGCCACAACGAGAATAGAAAATTATACCACATTCGGCTTCATTCCCCATATCCAACATTTCCATAGCGACGATACCGCACAAAAATTACTCGGGCATTAACCATGCTTATTCTATCTGATTCTCCAACCACGGGTTCTACAAATGCAAGTGCGGTTGTCTGTTCCGTTAACACCCATCACCTATCAGGAATCGGCACCAGTGCATCATGCGTACAAAGTACCCTCGTAGTCCTTAGCCGTTCCCTTGCAAATACCACCAATCACGTTTGTTAAACGTTTTCTCTTCGATGTCACAATTGGTTCCCCAAGCACATGGTTTACCAGCATCTCCACAATTCCCATCAATCATTCTCAAATCACAGGGCGCCAGGTTACCCCTCCACGCAAACCCATGTTTGTATATATTTATCGCTCGCCGCTGCATCCATTAATTTTCTGGATTGGTTTTTTTACCTAGGTATTTGTCAATTGCCTTCCTTATCGATACATTTTCTGTTGATGTATTTACTAAGCAGTTGGGGCACGAAATCGAAAATTCTTATCGCAGATATCTGACCACTTGTCACCCTGTAAACATTTCCACGCTACCTGAATCCCTCACAGCGTTTCGGTGATTCACGCCAATCAATCAAAATCAATCCCCATAAATTTTACTTACCTAGCTTGATATGGGAAATACGGCGACCATCAAGTGCCGCCGTTGGCGATGCTAACGACATCGCTTAGTGTAGCTCTGGAACCATAGAGTCAAGGGCTTGCTGGAACTGGGTATCTAACCGACTACATGACTTGCGAATGCAGTTTAGCTTTCACCCTAAATATCATAAAGCAGCTGCCTTGAGGTTCGTGAGGCTGGAGGGCTAGACAAATATGGGAATTCTTCATCGGGGTCCATAAGTTATAATAGAAATCTACCCTCTGTACGTACAATCCCAAGAAGTTGAAGATCTTCACAATTCCCAATCTCCATGGGCTTGGCTTTTGGTAATTTATGGCGATATCCCAGCGAAACACATAGGGACTTCGGTAAACAATAGCCCGGAATGGGAGTCATATCCGACGATATCCACTTTCTTCGATGTGAGAAAGTCCACCCCCAAGACTACTAATATCGTTCAGTAGCGTGGTTTTTGAATCGGTCACATGAACGGATGTCCCGTCCTTTTCCTTCCTTTGATATTATTCCGTGATATCGTCATAAGGATCAGGGTGGAAGCTAATGTCCACCGTCGTTTGAGGTCATAACAACACCTGGAATGCATGTGTGTGATAAGATGTGATATCACCATGCAATGGTCATGTCTGCCATGTGTACACGCTGTCTCTTTGCACATCAATCCTTTTGAATATCTTGAACTTGGAAGTCGTAATCCTCATCCTGAATCCTTTATTTCTGTTTCACGCAATCATCTGTGATTGTACGCGCTTGTCGTGTTTGCACAGTGCTTTTTATTTCGAAGCCATGTTCCTTGTAGCGCGAGTAAGACCCCAGGTCAATAATTTCCCAACGCATACGCATCTTTAACCCATCAGCCATGAAAACGCCACGTGCGGAAGACGAGATCCATTTCCATGGTATTACCACAGCCATAGACGGAAGGATCGATACCTGGGCCCGCCTTGATGGCATATGCTAATTCACAGAAATAATTGAACGAAGCGCTGATACCTGATCCGACTTATCTTAGACTGTCTTAGCCATTTAATTCGTGAGCTGGTTGAACTTCCGATGTTAATCCGGTGGGGCTTCATGATTGATGTTGACTGTCTCGAGCTGCCTTCCAACTTCGCTGGAAATCCAGCCCTGATCAATAGATATCTTTGGCATTACCTCCTTTTCTGGTCCAAAGCGCGATTTTAGCCGATTAATTTCCCCACGATTCAATTTCTCTGGGTGGTAGCGTCTATCTGGTACCAGCCATTGGAATAAATGGAAATAATTGACATACAATCGCCCAAGTGTAAAGTTTTTCCATAGCATATCATACTATGTGGGCACAGTTTACATCCTGAAATCTAAGCGCCTTCATGTCGTATGATTTCGATTTGAACTCGACACCATCTTAGGACGCCAATGCCGTTTGCCTAAATGATCTGCCGTAATCAACCCCTTGTTGTCTGACTGTAAATTGTTTCCAGATTGCTTCCAGGTGAGATTTTAAAGGAGGAATCGCGTGGCAACTGTTACCGGCGATGTAAAATGGATCGATTAAGTTTGGGGGTATCGACCTTCCTCTTTTGCTACCATAAATTAACATGATGAGTCGAGCGCTAAACCGCCGTGCCAAAAATACACATTGTGACGAAAACAAAATTTCAGAATAAAAATGCCAATTGCTGACAGTCCGCAGTTAGTCGCAATCTAAAAAAAAACTTGTCAATTCATCAAATGCTTATGAGGAAGGACCCCCAAGTTTATATACCTCTTGTCCCTTCGTTTGCTGCCTCAATACCCCATTTTCCTACAACCTCCAATCATACCACACACCTACCACTTCTGATAGAAGGAATGCGTCCCGGCCAATCAATCTTCCGCTCCCACGTCTTCTAGGCAAGAATGGGGTATGAATCTCGAATGTTTTTGAGTTTTCGGTATCTAAATAATGCCACTGTCGAACACAGGCACTCTCGTGGTCTTTGTCCTGTCGCCCGAAGATGGGGTTTAATTGGAGACAGAATAAGGAAGTGTTAAAGTTTAACTGTAGTTCCTTCCTGGAACGTGACCGTGCTACAATATCAAAGTTTTGCACCTGATCGACACGACGTAAACCTTATAAGCATGCATTTATATCCCATTCCTCAGCCTTACAGAACCTACACAAAGCACGAGCTGAATACACGGGAAAGAGGCGTAGCTGCTAGACCTCAATTGCCGAAGCTTTCGTGCCCAGAAATGTAGGAAAAAACTTTAACTGACCGATATGCAACAAATCGTATTGATCAGTGAACAAATCCCATCCCATTTTCCGAATCCCATTCCCTCTAGCCCTGTCATCCCATCTACAATCCCTTCTCGCACATGGCAGACAAGCATTCCGTTTTGTACACCACCACTAGGTTAACCTCCAAGCCGTTCCAAGTCACCGGGTCCGAATTGTCTCGGCTCCAGCGCTGGCGGAACCAAATTTTTGGGAACACCTCTTCTCACGTAAATAAATGTGTACCGATACCCTTGTGCATGTTTCACCGAATGAATTGCATTACATTTCTACGCTATCTATGCACTGCATGGCGTAACTATCCGCAGCCCTTTGCGACTGCCCGTCCCGTCTCGCTTCCGCGACGTCGGGATGCGTAGAACAAACAACTGACAGTACCCAACCATGTTCATCCTTTGCCATAATAATATTGTTTTCGTTTTTGAGATTCTTTTGATGAAAACTTTTGTTTGTCGTCAATGGAGTAACCATGCAATCCCTGGGGCAGCTAACAATTCTGCCGGAATAGTATTCCAAGGCTTTATAGTCAAATATCAATGTTTCTGAGCACATGCCAGGTAGTGTCCCCCTTAATATCATCGTATGAGACAAAAACTTCAAGTTCTTTCCCACCAATTTTTTCGCCCTTTCTTTACTCTCGCTTCTTTCCTTTCCCTCTATATTGTCTCAGTTACACTAATAATCGTCGTCGTCAGGTGGCGGACTCTCATTTCGATACTGTGCACGCGATATAGCCTTCGCTTTCTCAAACGCTGCAGTCTCATCCATTGAGTCGTCTTGAAACTGCGCGAGTGATGTACTCTCTTTCCAAAGCGCTTCGGATGACATAGCCTCTGCAAGCTTGGTACTTTGGTGGATTGGTGTACGCCTTTGTGAAGCCGAACCCTCATTATCTTTGTGCTTGGTCAACATAATTCGCGGCTTGACTTGTTTGTGCTTAGTCTTGGTATCTTCTCCCACTGGTTCAGTTTCACCTAATGACATTCTTATTGCCTTTTGAAGATCATCTTCCTCTTCTTTTAGTGTTTTCGGCGGAGCTTGTGAGTACCATTTTCCTATCGCTGCACCATATTCAGCGTTAACACGTGGGTCTCCCGTTAACAAAGGGGGATTATGATTTTCGTAATCGCTACACCATTGCTCGATATCATTTGTCTCATCAACGTAGAAATCCTCCCTCTTTTCCAAAAATTCGTGTTCTGTTTGCAGAGACTCCAATCGGCTTTCTAGTATTTTGTACTCCTCGGAGCCTATGGGGAGCAGACTCATTTGGTCTTCTAGCTGATCTGACTCCGCTTCTACAGCTGATATCAATCGGGTATAATTCATAAATCTGTCATGAGAAAACCAGCGCGAAGAATTCATCGCATCATCAGGCCCAAATCCATTTGCGATAGGTTGCATGTTAGAATCTATAATATCAACAATGATTCGGGCCGCCCTCTGTCGATCATCTTCGGTTCCCGGAATTTCCATAGAAACCGCTTTATCCCGAATATCTTGTAATTCTCTCTTTTTTTGCTGCGTCACAGTTTTGTCTCCATTGCTCGACCTATTCTGTGCGAGAGCTTCCATGACAGCCATCGACGAAAGCTGTAGATGACGCAATTCTATGACCAGTCTACGACTGGCTTGCTCTCTTTCCGTCTTTTCATCGTGGGTAATTAATTTTCCGTTGACACGCACCCGCGGTCCTCGACTTGGTTTCGGTTTTGGTGTTGGAGGTGAACCTACGGCTACTGTGTTCGACTCGATGCCTCCATTAGTCCTGGAACCATTGTGGGGCTCTGAACATTGTTCCACGGAAGATGAAGGAGAATCCTTCCGTGGTTCATTTTCAAGCTTTCTCCGCTTATACGTTTCAAGCTTTTTTCGCTTACACAATTCAGTTCCCGTCGTGTCTGACAGCTTGACATTATGATATTCGTCAGCTCTTCCTTTTAACATCAGTTCTTTGGCCTTTTCATCAGTCAACGGCTCCCACTCGTTCCCATTGTTTTTCACTTCCTGGTAATGCAGACGGAGAATTTTTCTAGGTTCGCCTTGAGCGTCCCAATCCTCATCCGAATAGTCTTCTTCATCGATCATATGCCTGCGTCGACGCCTTCTGGCTTTGAAATCTTCGGCGGTATCATTTTGAACTCTAGCTGTAGAGAATAGATGCTGCGATGAGTCAGGCCGGCTAGCAGCAGTGACTTCCTGTAATGGCGCCAGAGGAAAAGGATCCGGAAATTCCCAGGGCTCACGAGGTCGCAACGAATAGTCCCTAGGTTTATAGACGTACTTAGGACGTCTTGGTGGGGAAGAGTCTCCCTTAGACTGGGCAGCACTCACATCATCCATGTTTACATCGCTATTTGACATGGACTTTGGCGCATCCATTGGAGATACGTTTCTAAAGAGTTGGCTTTGTGAAGGCGATTTAGCCACCCCCAATTCTGCCGAAAAGAACAAAGGTTCACTACCTGGCCGATATTCCGGACGGGATCTTGGATATGTACCCGGTACATTTGGAAAATCGCAGCTCCCAGGATGTCTGACTTCTCCATCTGGTACAGGATTCCTTATCTCAAATACTGTAAAAAAAGAAGAGGTTTCACTTTCAGTATCACTTTTAGTGTCGATATTGTGGTTACTGTCTGAATTCGGATCGGAGATTAACGGTGTGTGAAAATCCACTGTGATGTTCGCATAAGAGAGAGGTGGGGGCCAGCACTTGGTGAATTCGGTAGTATCATTGAGATTGACATTTTTACCATGACGCCTTTGCGTGATATATTCCTGGTCAAGGTCAGTCAGTCACCATATGATTTTTCTCAGGAGTACATACATCCAGAATTTGAGACCAATTGTTGTCGTTGACCATGTCCGAGCTCGAGCTTTTCAAAGGTTGAACATCTACCAGGTTGTTAGGCATCAAATTGCTAATAAGCTTGATGAGCAATAGGCTTACAACGACGAGGGTATATCTTGGACTTGCGGCACGCAGGTCGAGAATCAGAGTTACTTTCCTTTGCAATGCCCTTAAGATAAAATTTTCTTGGCCCTTTTTTAAATTTCATGTTCTTGTAAAAATGTGACCGCTTGAGAACCATTCTTCTCTGGGACCTCGATCGTGAATTTGCCCATTGAGATCTACGGGTACGGACTCCTTGTTCTTGATCTTTTTTTGGCACCAACTCTGTGCCATCGAATCCTTGAAAGTGTACCGACTTCGTGGGCAGCTCTTGAGCGATTGAGAGACTGAAGGAACATTAACAAGCACTCTCGCTGGGATTACGGTTTAGTACCTTTGGTCATCTTTGGATGTGGTCTTCGAGTTAGGGCTTGTACCTAGGATGAAATTGGAAAATAATACGTACGAACTAAAGGTCTCCCTGAAAGACCAGGGTATTGTGTTGATGCCCTGAGACTGTGCCAGCTTCCCTTATCTTCCTACACATTGAAGCGGATTAGCTTTTGGAGGTCACTGTGCTAACAGCCCTAGTCTACTGAGCTCTTGGATAACTACCTCTTCTGGCTTTGAATTGGGATTTCTGTAGCTTGGATCATCACGAACTGGTATCTCCGTCACCTCGAGAAGCGCTGTTTGCGTATTTATCGGTAAAGTTCTACGGCCAAACTGCGATAAAGGGGGAATATGTTCTGTGCGAATATAATCCATCGGATCCTTTGAATCAACGGATTCCGGGCCTATAAAATTACACATGGTGCTAGAAAACAACAGTGAAGATCTCAATACCACCTTGGTTGTTGTTCGAATCTTCGGGGCCTTTATGGCTACCTGAAAATCTTCAAATAACCTCGAATTTGCGCGAGTATTAGCGACACTCGAGCAAGCTAGATCGAATGGAGGTCATCAAAATGTCCTAGAATCTGGTGGAGTAAAACCGCGATGTTGGCAAAACGTGTTTGTTTCCTATTTCTACTTCATGGGGAGAACTTCGCGTTGAAAATCTTATTCTTTTAGGCCTTTAGACGAAATCTAATGTGTAGACTCAAAATATACAATGAAAAAACTGTAAAGAATAAGTGTACTATGAATACGGAGAGACTGGTGAGTCTTGAAAGTACTGATGTATGGATGAAGTGTATTGTTTTCTTTCCAGGTGCAAACACGTCCTATATTGTTAAGAGAGAACCCTAGCAAGAATTATTTCTCCTTCGCTCTTGCCTTCACTTCTTTGCCGCATGCAATTTTCGTGCGATACCCAATATCAAGATGAAGATGCCTTCCTTAATCTGGAACTTTGATGGAAGGTGCAGAGAATGAAACATCGAGCTGTTGCCATATTGAACCCTAAAAGTCAAAATCTACTCGGCTATATCCTCCACCATACGGCGCATCCCAAAGCAATTATTTTACCTTCGTAGACGAATCTGAGTTACGTCGGAAATAGCACTAGATATACAGTCGAAATTATAATCTAAAATATTATTGCTTTTGTTCGCAAATTTCCGTGCTTGATTAGACTCTTTAAAAGTTTTCCGAGTATGCTAATACTGGTATCTTGAAAAGCTAACGAAGTATAAAGTTCATATGGCAAATGAGTAAGCTCTGTAGCTCGCAAGAGCGCATCATTGAACACCCGATAATCTATCATAGTAAGGATCACTTGCCCTCCTCTCCCGACTACCCAGTTGAAAGTAAGATCTAGTGCTTTTTCTTCCGCGTAGTTTATCTTTCCAAATCTGATTTATATTCCAATCAAGGCCCAGCCGTCGGACGTTCCGTAGCAATCGTGCGAAAAGGCTCGCAGCCCAGAAGCACCAACTATCCTCATATTCTCGCCCACAAATGTACAAGGAACGACCACACTCAAGAGAAATATAATCCAAGTCATCAAATGGCGAGCTGACAAACGCCAGCTTCCGAGGTTCAAGCCCAACAAGCGGCGCGTTTGCAAGCTCCGCCAACTTTCGCAGGAAGGTAACCTTTGCTGTTATTCGAGAGGGGACCGTTAAGTTTTCACGTTGCGTTTTACTACCCTCGGCATCTTGGTAAGACTGACGATACGCCTGAGTTGGGGGGGGGTTTAAAGAATACAGAGAAGCAAGAAGCTTTCGAGATACAGTAGACTCAATATCGTTCGTTGAAGATCGATTGGATCGATTGGAGAATCGCTTGTTTTGATAGATTTCGAATTTTCCGGGCTTTATAAAATTCAAGGGTAAGAATTTCGAATTCATCTTCGACAAATTGATATATATCTCCAATAGTAGAAACAAACACAGGAAGAAATTTGGGGAGTCGCACTGGACGACGTGATCGTAATCAATAGGATCAAATTAAAACCTAGGTACTGCAAAGAGTTTTTCACTCTGTCAAACTGCATGGAACCTAAACCCTTTAAGAAGGACGAATAAATTGAGGAAAATGTTACAGGACTTCATCTGCATCATCATTAACTCTGCGATGGTCAAAAGTTTTGAAAGATCACAAATATTCTGGCATTTGACGAAGTACTCCCCCGCCGTAAAATTTGATGCTGATTCCATATTCAACAAGCGTTTGAAGGTCGTGAAACCATCTTCTATACCATATGGTTATATAATTGATTCAATCGTCAAATTAGTGACGATGACAAGGTAGATCTAACCGATGGCAGCCGATAGGGTCAACAGTCAGATCAGAATGATTACCATGAGATGATCTACACTGACATATAGAAGCCGGATAAAGGAGAAAGAAAAGTGAGAAACGGGGTGCACGACATGAACTTGAGTGAATCTCATCACCTTGCCATAATAAATCCCCATCCTACCAATGACACCAGATGTAGAGGCTTCAATATCGTGGTGCAACATCATTACCTAGTCTCATCCATGCCCATGTAAGAGTACACCGAGTGCTAAGTTGGGCTCAAGACGGACTGGATCAAAAAGAAAAGAGAAAACATGCGAAAGGTAAGATCTTACAATCACATGAGATGACCAGATGAATATACTCGATTTCATAACTAGCTTTCAAAACGTAACTTTTCTATGCCTCATTAAAAACATCTAAATGTTATATTTCTATTATTCATTCTATAATAACTTTATCAATTTGATATCGATTTTAATAAAAATAACATTTTACAATAAATAATGATTAAATCTATTATACACTCAATTTTTAATTAATTTGGAATTATATTAATTTGTCAAGGTACAGGTAAAGACTTATATTGTACTATAAGGGTAAAAGGACTACGGAAGGGTGAGGCCCTACTTATAGGAAGTAGGGCACGCTAGTGGTCTATGCCTGAGGCACGAAGGCAACTACAGATCATATAGTTGGCGCCGTGACATAATTGAAATAAAAATTTGAGAATGAAAATTTAAGATTGAAAACTTTCTTTTAGAAGCTAATTATAAAAACCTTCAAAATTTTATATTATTTTAAAATCATTATTATTTTATTTAATATAGAAATTTTTGATTTTAAAGCTATATTAATAAAGTTAGGATTTTATAATTGATTGATTTCAGCTAAAAGGTTGTAAGACTATAAAATCATGTTTTGAAAGCTAGTTATGAAATCGGGTGTAATTGCTCGAGTTTGTCTCGAGAACACCTTGTTTTCTGTAACAAAGATCTTGACATATTGTTACTCAAATCAGAAAACCAACTCTCGTTTTTCTTTAATCTTGATCAAGAACGCAAGTCATTTACGTATCCCAAATTTGACTATAGGAGGCACTCGGTAGCGAACGTCGTCAAAGTCAAACAAACGACATTTATTCAGCCCTGCATTTGAGTCTCACCGCGGTACCTTGTTCGTTCCCGATCAACAACCTTCAAGAGTAAAAGAAGTCTCGCGCTTAGCCTCCTTTGAACAAATTCCACTGAAAGAAGCTTTACCGAACTTCTACTGCAATTCAATCGATCTTCGATTGAGATCTAGATTATTATAGAAGTCTTTGTTGATCTGCGGAACATGAGCCTTGCGAGCCTGGCAAAACCCCATCTCCCTCTAGATGGTCAGCTTACGAGAGTATGAAATAATTCAGCAATGCCAACGTTCGAAGGTGTTATGATTGAAAATGCTCGGTGACTTCAGGATAAAGAGGTCTAGATGTCGTCTCCTTTTTCTAGTGGGAGTATTCTGTAACCGTTACTCTCAAGGCGTGAGATTCACGGAACTGTCCATGAGAACTAATTGTCTGACGTTCTTTCTAAAAGAAATTTGCACGCTTTTACAGGGTATCATGTAACTAGCAATGAAAAGAGCTTGAAAATCCTTGTAATCTTCACGGAGCTTTGAAAGCAAAGTGGAACGGGGTGTGTTCTTTCAAAAAGATAAAGACCACAACAATTATAAAGCGAGTTTAAAGTCCCCATGGTAGGAGGGACCGTTACAGGAAATATCTACTAGGATATTACACACACTATGAAGATTTTCAACGCAGTAATTCTATGTCTCTTCGCTAGTATTCAGGTAGCTATTGCTGATACCAGTACTTCTATACTCTCATCATGTACAATTCGGTACTCGACCAAGTCTGTTTCCGTAGTTAAAACCATCACAACACGCAGAGCCGAGTATTTCTACGCTTTCAATACTTTCACTAGACCTCCTCCAACAACAATTACAGTCACCCTTCCTGCCAAACAAACAATATACACCACTACCCAAACAACTGTTCCTGCAGCAATTAAAGCTAGGGCTACAGATCCTGTAGTTCTCGGTGTTGACGAAGCCTCTAAGAAGCCTCGAAAGCTCCCTGACGGTGCGTCGCGTGGAGTTTCTCTTCCAAGAATTGTACCTAACAGGTTCAATTTTCGATCTCTGTCTGCAAAGACTTTGTACCCCTATGTGGTATACTGTGTATACGAGATCAGACGAGTCTCAATCACGACAGTTACGGGTGCGCAACAAACAGTGAAACAGACTATCACCCCGAGATACACAACGAAGACGGTGACTGAAACTGTAACGGCATAACCTTAACATTCGTTCGGGTCTAGGATGCTTGCTACTTCGAACAAGACATACTAATCAATCTTCTACCACTAAAACAACTGCTTCTCCACCACAAATTATGCAATGGAATGTGTACCACGCGAGCAATATAATTTTATCCATCGGGAAAAAAGCCATCGATACATTCGTTTCGGACGCTGACATCAGCGAGGATTCTTCTATATGTTACTTCGGACTGTGCGTACAAGTACTACACTCAGTATGCACAACTGGAGATATATATGTTGCGGACTCCAATCCTGACATCCTTTCCTTTCGTTTAAAGGGGCGCTGGTATGATACAGGAGGATGTATGATATAAAAAGTTGAAAATGGATCATATGGGAATGCGAATTCACTAAGCCCCTAAGCACGATGCTTCCCCCCCAAAAATTGGTTATGTAAAGCACAAAAGTAATTTGATTTGGTCTGTGATGCTGAAATCTAAATCGCATTGTCTTGATGATGTAGCCCCCGATGCAAGCGGTAAGGACTTAGTAGGTTTTTGACGGAACGGAAATCTAGGTCTGCTTTGATATAGTTTTGTGATGGCCTGATGGTGTCATGATTGAAAGTTGTTATATTGAATCAACGGTTATCCAGCTTGTTATTTGATAAAATAGTGTCTTGTAGTGTCCAGAACATCACCGGATAAAGCCCATGCCTTTCCAAATTCTTTATTTTCCCTATACTGCGCACCAATAAATCATTTTTCGCATATTGTAGGAACTACTGAGTCAGATATGTATAAGACTACGAGCGATCCCCTTCACTAACCATAAAGAAGACCCTCGATTATCAGATCCAAATCATACGTAACAATCTCACAATGCAACTTCCCATGATGAAACACTCATAATTCAATAAACAAGCACAGTACAGACAAATATCTGAAATAAAGGAAACTCATATTGCATTAGTTATTCATATAAATCCGAAACCTCCCTGAAAACCCTAATTCCCCTCTAAGCCCTAGCCCACAGTATACCCCCCGATAAACGAACATACGAATGAAAGGCTTGTACTGCACAAAACAAACTGTGCCGCTCGTCATGTATACACCTGCTGCCACAATTATCATTACTCTATTAATTCCGACTCAAGGAAAGTGATGCCATCCCTAAGCAAATTATTAAAATCTCAACTCGAAACGAATGAATAAATGAGAACAAATTCATCATCAAGCGAGAAGATGTCAAGTCGATTAAGCCATAGATGAAATGGAACAATCCATGTGCATCCTCAGGCTACAATCCTGAATCGATCTGATCCACCACCGTCGTATTCGTGAATGCCGCCCAATCTCTGCAAGTCTGGGCCATGATACTTGGAATTCTTAACTTCGCAATATCTGCGGGTCTTTCCAAGACACTGACGTACAATCCACTGCCTACATGGAATGCAATGTGGCAATGCAGAGGCCAGACACCAGGGTTGTCAGCCGTGATTTGTAGTACCATATAGCCACCAGCTTGAAGGGTTTGAACATCACGACGCTGCGGGTTAGATGGTCGAACAACTGTTTGCCCATCCCAGGCTCCGACTCCTTCATTCAGCACGAACATGTTGTGGCCGTGAAGATGCATTGGATGAGAGACGGTGGTGGGGTTGGTAATGTAGATACGGATGGAACTGTTGTCCCCGAAGTTGTAGACGTTCCATTCGGGACTATCTGGGTATGAGTTGTTACCCTGATTAGATAGAAGAAGAATTGGCTCGTTATAATTTGCATGGAAGGAAGAATTGTTCATCGACCAAAGCCAGTTTCCAGAAGCATTTTTTCCGAATCCAATATCGATTTGTTCCGTTGTGGGTGGATTTGGATCAGGTGTGATCGGGTACCAAGGAGTCGTTTCGTTAAGAGGGTCATTTGCGCAGACATTGGCGACAGAGTCAGTGAATATAGTGGAGGCAGTAGTGGTAGAATTTACATTAGGTTCGAGACCATAGTAAACGAGTGCCTTGGCTTCAGGGTTCTTGAAAAGTGAACATCCAGCAATTGTTGATCGCATCCAGTATGATCCTGACGTTTCAGTTGGGAGACCTTCGACGATGACATCGGTACGCTGGCCAACTCCCAAAGTTACAACTTGAGTTGTGTATGGGATGATAGGGACGAAATCATTGGCAATGACAGTCATGTTGTGTCCATCGATTGCGAACTTCTGCATCCCTTCAGTGCCGGCGTTGATGAGCCTAAGTCTGTGCTTCGCTCCAGCTGTGAGCTTGAAAGTAGGTGGCATGTAGTTATCGTCATTGCAGGTAGCGTTATCACCGGCAGCTTTTGCAGAGCAATCGAAGAACCCTTTCCCTTGGATGAGATTACTATCGGAGCTTACAAACTAATGGTTGTTAGTACATATTCTTGTAACTGTGAATTTAAAAACCACTTACAACTCTGTTGGGGTCAGTCGACATAGAATCCTCAACCAGAGAATAGTAATCTGGGTGGTACCAATCGTTCAAGAGTATTGGTCCCAAGTCTTGTCAAAAATTAGCACAATTCGGTCAATCCTCGGGTCGTTTACTTACCGTTATCATATGGAACGGTTGGGGGACCATGAATGATCATGGGACCAAATATACCAGCATTGTACTGAGCAGAGTAATGAGAGTGCCACCAACTTGTCCCGTAAAGATCGGCCAAGAACGAATATGTGAAAGTTCCTCCAGGTGGGATCGGACACTGTTGAACTCCAGGAACACCATCAAACCATTGACTTTCCTTTTGCAGGAGACCATGCCAATGGAGTGCTGTGCCTTCTTCGGGACCTCTGATCTCATTGTGAACAGTGACTTCAATCTTGTCTCCCCAATTGGCCTCGATGAGAGGGCCGGGGAAGACCCCATTTACTAGTATCACATTCCTTTGATAACCATCTGGCGATGCTTGGCCTCTTTGTATCGTGAAATCATATCTTCTAATCACACCGGTGTGTGGTGCATCAGCTGTTGTACGATCAATGGTCAGTCATAATTCCATGAATCTGGGCCGGTAATCAACTCACTATAAGGATTGGAGTTGTTAGCAGTCCTGTTACCCCATGGAAATCCTTGAGGAAGGGGAGTGACAGGATTGCTGGTTTTCAAGAAATTTATTGGCAAGGTCAGATGATTGTTTTGAGCAGAAATGAGTGACCCAAAAAGGAGAGTGGCGAGAGAAGCTAGACCCCGCATGTTGAAAGAATGTAAGAATCAAGACCAAAAGGTATTAAAGAGGGAACCTTCAATGGCGATGATCTGATGTTGATGTGAATGTTGATGTAGAATATGAGACGGATATGTACAGGAGGTATTGATTTATATAGAAGTACTTCAATACTCAGTCGAGTAAGATACCAAAAAAGCTAGTAAAGTATTGAAAGGCTACTAGTTTGATCAGCAACACTTGCATCTTGCGGCATGGGTTTCACGCCATGCCTGGATGGATCGGATAGGCTTGCAGGATGCTCAATTGCATGCATTGATCTCCAGGTAGACATGGCATAGAATCATCCAAGCATGAATGAAGCTGTAGATATAAACTTGACGGCACATCAAGAATGTATGAAGTTGATGTGGAAGTATCAGTACTGAGTTCCACATATAATCCACAACGTAAATTGCTTCGTACTATGCCGTGCGAATAGTCTATACGGGAGAAGACCAAAGTTTCGAGTCTTCATGCCAATAAAGTGCACAGTATAATGGTCATCAAGCCTTTCAAGCAGATGTAGGGCATCAGTTTCGTGCTTCACCGATTAATTCCCCTGCGGATCGCATGTACATCAAGGTTACCAGGGGAAGGAAGAGCACTAAAAGTCGTTGCAGACGATCGAGTTGATGGAGCAAGTCTGTTTGATGTTCATGGGTCATTTGAACCCACGTCTTGACATTTTTGTGGATTCAAACATGTCAATCATTGGCTTGAGACTTACGTCTTTGGCTGTCATGGAGTCTGTCAAGAGTTACCCAGAATGCTTGGCAATACCAGTATCTAGTAGGAATTCAAATCCTTACCCCAGAATGATACTAGATGCTCGGTAGATACTGATAAGCTTTAACGATTGATCGTGGTTCCTACAGAAAAAAATCAGAGTTCGACCCCGAAAAGCCATAGAACGAATAATTAGGCTTGTAATAAAGTATTCCAAATTGAGAAAGTAGAGCTTGATCACCTTTCCGTCATGGTCTTGAGGTCGTGCGGTGTTCACTGAGGAACTCAGAAACCCAACTCAAGGGTTTGACTATGTTTATTCGCAAAGGCAGCCAGAACACGTGAAATTACATCCATCCCGTAATGCATCTCGGAAATTAGAGAGAAATAAGAGATATTTTCGAAAACCATGCACCCAACTGCTCGTACCAGTAGCTCTCCAAGTCAGACTAACTAGAGCTATCGAGATGTATATTAATGACAATTGGTAGTTCAGTGGATTTAAACACCAATTTAGCGGCTGGGCTCTGCGATCCCTCCGAGTATTCTTCACCAAACGAAGTCGCGAAAATATGATAGTGAGACTTTAAATTGAATTAGGATTGACATCCAATATACTAGCCACAAACCTATCTGTCTGTAGAAACATCGGAAATAGATAACTGATATCCCGAAGGAAAAAAAGAAATCATCTTTGTGAGACCAATGTTTTTTAGGAAAATGGGATTGATTTCGACTTCGGGCCACTGCCGACATAAAGGAGTTGTGGTTTGCAGGAACCACGAGCGAGAATCCAAGGATAATGGAGCGGAATCGACTTCCAGGTTGAAGCCGAAGGGAAGATCCTCGGCGTAGGGAATTTTCATGGCCGATGTAGTGGTTTCGTGACAATTTGAAAGGGACAAATCACATTCTTCGGTTGACATTCCCCAAATTGAAGTTTCTTAATTTACCTTGTTCCTCGTGTTTGGGTAAGTAAAATCGCGGGTTCGATGATTGCCACGTTTGCTGAAGACCAGTCACTGTATTGCCTACCTGCGTGATATGATACTTAGGTATGCGTTTTGTGCTTGTATATCTGGTTCCCGTAAATCCTGCCCCTGAAATGAATGTATCACGACTGGCTATGTCCAGATAAAGTGTCTGCTTCGTATATCTTCGCATTGCTATTTCTTCGAGGGATGGAATAATGGATTCTGAAAAGAAGAAAATCAGCCCCAAGTTCTATATATAAATCAGCTGAGAATATGTTTTTGAATTGGTGAAGATCCCGCACGATGAACTTGCCCGTATTTGACAGTACTAAGACCTTTTCGAATGTGATCCTTGTTAGTTTCGTGAATACCCAAGCACAATTGAGCCTCGACGTTGCCTAGATATGGAAACATCAATAATCTCTGTGAGCATCTAGATAGGGTGTGCTAACGTCGTGTGTTTTTCTTTTGGCAGAGATTGAAATTCTAGGGAGGCAGATCAAGACTCGTGATTGGTTGCTTGACTCAAAACCCCGTCTCGAGCCTTTGTGCAAATTGTGTTGATGTTTGATTTAAAGCTGCAAGCCTCCTCGCTGTGCTTCTATACAACGATTTACCAAAGGTGATAGATATCACGTGTATCTTCAGTAAAAACCTGGCCATAACTTCAATATGGACTTGTTTTGTACTCTCGAGTATGGTATGCTTGGCTACCTAGTGCTTGCATGCGGAATCGAGCAGAGAGCTCCACGGGAGATTACTTTCAGCTTTGAGATTCGTCCTCACTGACGCAGTTGAAACTTATCGGACTCAGCTCCTTCTTGTTTTTCATTCCATAATGCTTTGTCTGTCCTGCGGTAGAACTTCTCTTCGCATGCTTTCCCCTGGACTCGTGCCTGGAATCTTGCCTATAATTTTGATATTCTAGACTTGTTCACTTGAGCCGTGAGAGGAACACTCGTATGAAATCGATACCAATTGCACATGAGTTCAGTCGGCATAGTTCTCACCAAGTTACACACAAACGAAGTATCAATTGAAAAAATTCCTGGAGGATGTTAAGGTGAAGGAATTGGGCTAGAAGTAAGTATCAAATGCGAAGTAGTTCAGTTCTTCTTCTCTCTTTAAAAACGAACATCGATCGATTGACTCTTATGATGTTATCTCCTGAGGTTTGCAAACTCGATATTCAATATACAACTTGGACGGTTTGTGATATTGAATCCAAGGTGTCTGTCTCAATTGATTGAAGTTCATGCTATTTGAATATGCGCTGAGGTGAATGAATGCTACTCAAGGTCCAGGGCAGAATCAGTTGTGGTGAGGGATCATAGCTCCTTTTAGCGCCGGGTCATGCCGAGAACTGCACTTGACTGCAAGTCAATTCAGCATCATCAATTGATATCCTCAAGATGTTTACTCGAGTATCATTGCAAGATTACAACATTCTATTTACCAACCACCACCTTTCAGATACCTCTGCCGTACGATATAGATATTCTATTAAATCAATAAATAATACATTATATTTGGCTGTCACGAGCTCAAAGCATCTATTGATATCCAAATTTCCATTGTAAAACATCATTATTGCCGCTCTTTATCCTGCCGACCAACATTTAACATCTACCACAACGTTGTGTGTTTGTAATCTAACCATGGCATCTTCACCCACTGCACCGGGAAGCCAAAGTCATACCTCAATATCTACTGTGAATCCGCCACCTCCAGCTCATACGAATCAGGGGCTAGAGATTCCTCTCGAAACCTTGGTATCGCATCTTCTTGCTTCTAAGCGGTCTCTCTCCTCTATTAGTACAGTATGGCGTGCCAACGAAATAGTCACCTCGGCGAAGAATGCATTGGAGGAGAGTGCCATATTACAAGCTAAAACTAGGTTTTTACAAAGTGGTATCAATGAGCAGATGAAAACCTTGTTGAAGGTAAGGAAAACTGTAGAGTTTGTGTATAATGATGGACAGGAAGATTTCAGTGTAAGTCATTGAACCAAAGCAGTGATGTGCGGGATTGATCACAATATACGCAGAATGTCCTGCAAAATCTCGATGCCGCAGATGCTCGACTTGTATCTACGATGAATCTGCTACGATCGACAATGGTGGATGCGGCTTTTCGACCGGCGGGCGAGGAACCTAGAAATTTATTGGACTTTGTTGATGAGCAAGGCGTGGAGAAAATGCGAGATGGCTTAAAGGAATTGATCGATGAGTCAAAGGTAATAAAACCTTTCAAAGCTATTCGGGCATTTGCATTGTTAACTTTCGATTCTAGGAAGCGGAAGCAGCGTTCGGTACATCAATACTTTCTTTTGACAGCGATATACGCAGCTTAAAATCAGGGTTCAAGAATGGCAAAGGAAGGCCTTCGTCTCGTTCCCCAATACCAAATCATTTATATACACTAGAAGGGCACGCGCAAGAAATGGCTTCCTTGCTCTCGTCACTTTCAAGTCATTTCGACCTATGCTTGAATGCCATCCGACATACAGAGGGAGGATACGCTGCTGTTCGGAATGCGGCTTCCAATCCACCACCAGGCGCCGAACCGGTATCCGTCTCTGGTGTGATGACCAATTCTCACGATGACATAAATGAAGCACCCCTCACTGAACATGAGCGCCAAGAAATGTTTTCTATACTCGAAAAAGATGCCGCAGAAGTTGAAGATGTGGTTATGGAACTTCACGATCGTCAAAATGAAATGGAGGCCAAACATGATGCCATCCTTGACTATGTTTCACTTCTCATCGAACAATTCAAACATACTGCGAGCGTATACAAAACTCTAGAGAGTGTATATCAGCGACTCCCAAGATATATCCTCGCGGGTCATGATTTCAGAGCTAGGTGGGAGGATACTAAGGTACACATAAATGAACAAATGAATGAATTGGAGGGTATGCGACTTTTCTATGAAAACTATCTTTCCTCTTATGACGGCCTCATACTCGAAGTTCACCGCCGTACAGTTGCCGAGGAGAAAGCGAGATCGATAGCCAAGAAGGCAATGGAGCAAATCAATAAGATATATGAAACAGATGTGAAGGAGAGAAATCATTTCAAATTTGATGTAGGAGATTATTTGCCGGTTGATTTATATCCGGGTATTAATGAAGCGCCACCAAAATGGGATTTCAGATTGGTGGAGGATGAGGAAGGTGGGACTAGCACCCCTTTGTTGGAGAGGAGTGTAGTGAAGGAATCTATTAAGAGAGATAGAGAGAGACATAGGAATTCAAAGGAAAACTGATGGATGTTTGATGAAAGGAAGTGGTCAACGGTTTGTAATTATTTAGTTTGGTAGTGGACACTTGAATCAAATATATGTTAGTATCACAACCGGTTGCACTTTGTCAGAGTAAAACGTGAAAGTGATATCAAATGTCGAAAACTTCTACGATAAACATCTTTGAATGAATTCCGATCCATATCCCTTTAAACAAAGTTGTTATTTAAATTTGAATTTGCGTATTCAAGAGTATCCTTCACATCGAACATATCGTATCCATACAGCGATTAAAATCTTCCTTCGGCAACTCAAAAGAAACTAGACACCTCCTATTTACATCCCCCCCTGGCCTTGGCGTAAAAACTAAGATCTGTGGTTTTCTGGGAATGTTGGAGGGGCGTGAGGAGCTAGTGTGATATGATGTGGTGATGTTGCGGTGGGGGACAGAGGAGAGAAGGAGGAGAGGAGAGAGACGAGGATGAAAGGGAGGGTTGAATTTGTTGTTTGTTTGTTTGTTTGTGACTTGAGGCAACGGTATGCATTTTTGGGGTGAGTTGGGAAGGGAAACTCAATGATTTCTTTATTTATATTTATTTTTGATGACCTAGAACTTGACAGCCTGTGACGAAGGTGAAGGGGAGAGGGAGTAGATACTGGAATCGATTATTCGACTACTTCTATCCCAAGATTTATCAATGTACCTTCATATTCCTTTCCAAAACAACATTAAAAAAATCACAGTAAAAACTCCATAGATTTCACAATTTCCCCACCCCAAAGGTCCCGTACATCCTTTCATTATCATGATATCGTCCCTCCCTTTTCTATCCCCATCCCTAACCCTCATCAACTTGATACCCGAAAATCGCTTCATGATTACTAGTACCAGGATTCTCAGGAATCATCGGCAACGGCCATCCAGGAGATTGTTCGGACCAGGAATTTGTCATTGTGGCCCATAGGTCGTGATATGTTGTGTTTGCTGCTCGTTGTCGGTCTATTTCCGCGTCTGATATTGGAATTCCGGTGGGAGTATGAGTATTAAGCGGCTGTAAACCCATCTCTCCATATCCATATGTCTTAACACTGGCACTAGTAGAAGTAGCACCCATCCCAATATCCTCCACCCCCGCATCCCACCCCCCCACCCCCTCCCCAAACCCATCATTCCAAGCCTCCATATCCCCAACATCAAAATCCATATTTGGATTCTCCAACAAAGGCGCCATCTCCGGATCAAACATCGGACATTTTCCCCTCGAAATCACTCCCACTTTCGGAACTATCGCTTCGACTCTCTCCTCCCACGTTTTCTTAAGTGTAGTTAACATCCCATGCATGACGAAATATCTATCATAGTGTTTTTTCTTTGCTTTACTGCTTCCCGATTTCCTCGTCCCAGTTTCAGAAGATTCTATATCTGCATCTGCTGCAGAGGGAATCTGAGAATTGGAAGAAAGACTACTAAGTCTAAAACATAATGCTTCGAGATACATACTCAACCCCACTTTCTCGCGCGTCGTCTCCGCAGACCAGTTTTCCACGTGTGCGAGCACGAATGTGAGGCGTACGAGCCCGACAAGGGAGTGTACGAGTTGGGACCAGTGGATTAGATTGAAATGGGCGTAGTCTGAGGTGGGGAGTGAGAGGAGATGTTGGAAGTAGGAGGAGCCGAGACGGAGACAGGTGTTGAGGTGTGAGGGGGAGGGAATGCTTTCTGTGGTGCCGGGGATGAAAGGGCGGTATGGACGACGGAGAAGACGGAGTGAGTGGGTGTATATTGAGAAGTGGGTGTGTTTGTGATAGAGGGCGAGGAGTGCTGGGGTTTATTAGCCTTGCCTTTTTTATGCAATCTCTGGGAGGTTTAGAGGAGCTCACGTGAAGAACTCATAGATTCTGGTACATTTCGTTTCCAGGTGTCTAGTTCAGAGGTGAATAATTGAACGTATAATTCGGTGCTGAAAACATCCATTTGCGGATAGTTCTTTGCGGTCCATGCATCATTGATACGATCTGCCACACGCTCAAGTATCACCATAGCTGTTGCTGGTGTGGTTGTATGTGATGGAACGAAGCAATTTGGATTGCTGGGAAGAAGATTCTCGTAGGACATCGTTTGTGGTTTATTGAATCCCTTGGAAAGACTTTTTACTGTAAGTCAGTATCTAGACAGAGGGTCATATCCAAAAGAGACGTCACGAACTGAGAACCCAAAACATAACATCCCATGTAAGCATTTCTAGCCTCCATCGTCCACGCACCATCGTTATCCACAAGACCATTCAGATCAAATTCTCGAAAAAGAGCACTCTGAGGCTCTGCTTGATCAAGTCCCAGGTCTAAAGACAAGGAATTGGCAAGATTCATGTACGTAAAACATGGATTGTATTGTGGTTTGGTATGCACGGGATACCAAGCTATGTATACCAGAAGACCGAGAAGATAGTCGAGGGACTTTTGCGACTCGACGATTAATTTGAGACTTAAAACACGACGGAACTCTTGGTCTAGTTGATGATGGAGGTATGGATGTGGAGTAGCGGCGGTGGTGAGGATGGCCAAAAGAAGAAAAGGAGATTGTTGGGACAGGGTTCGAATAGTGGGGTTTGCGGGGAGAGTGACGAAAGGGAAGAATGGAAGTTTGGGAATATAGGAGTTAAGGAGGTGCGTCGCTTGGGATAAGGTGAGTTTGCGACCGGAGATATATTTTAATGGTACGGGTAGTGCATCCTTCAATGGAGGAGGCGACTGTGACTTATCGTCTTTAAAGACGCGTTTGTGATGATTTTGTAGAATATCGGTGTCTTTTGCTGGATCGTGATATACGGTTGTGGGAAGATCTAGAGAAAACCCTCCATCTTTTGAGGGGTTATCCACGGAAAGCGAGGGGGCGGATGATACTGGGCTACCGGTATCATCTAACTTTGTACTACTCTCTGGACATACAATACGACGAGCACGCCTTGGTCTGGCTTTCTCTCGAACCACACATCGACGTTTGGCTTGGTCGCATCTATCTACAATTAGTAATGGCAACCTAGGAGGACAATGGATTAAACATCGGGATTACCTCTGACATATTGTACTGTCATCGGCAAAGACGCATCGATTTTTACTTGCTCTGCAAGCTTCGCAAGCACGTGCATTTCTCATTGCACAACTATTGATGAGTGCCAAGGTACATTTGATGCTTGACGTCTAATGTTTAATATTGATCTTCAAGCCCATTATCGCGATGCTGGATTGTTGCTCGTAGACGAGACAAATGATGATCGGTCAGATCACGGTGGGGAAACCCTGTGGCTTATAACCTCCGGATATACGGAAATATGAATAAAGATAAAAATAAAAATAACAATAAAAATAAAAATAGCAGGTAAATCGCATCGTCTCACATAAAAACGTAAATGCAGGAGTATGATGAGAGCATCGGGAAGCTTTCGAAGAAGTTGTACTCTCGTAGACATTGATAAGTTAATTTTGTTGGATGTCTTTAATCATTGAAAATGGAAATTGGGTAGGAAATTGGTTACGAAAATAGCTGTTGTGGCTTTTACACACATTCATGAACAAATCAATGATGAGACTATGCGTCGTCGAATAATATATCATGATAAGTACCCCCCTTTACTCCTTTACTCGTGGATGTTTTAAGGTTTAACAATCAAAAGAAACCGTTCCTTTCGTTGTCCCCCTTCCACCTCTAAGAGCATCGTTTCTTATGGCCGACATAAAACATACTATCATAGGCAACCAGAGCCATTAAAGTATTTGGGTGCCTGGAGAATGACTCGATTTGATGATGAGTCTTTCGGGTTTCTCAAATACCTTGCAACAATATGGCGAGTCAACAGCAGAAGTAGTCGGGTCACTATCACAACTTCATTGCCCACCTGCAGGTTGAGTCGTAGATACCTCAATGTCAGCCACAACTGCTCTATGGTCTGAAAGATATACTCCATCATCATAACGATTGCTCAGCACCGCGTAGGTTTTATAACTGACTGGTGTGTCCTTTGCAGAGAAGATAAAATCGATCCGAGTTGGTGTATTGTCCACATATCCAAATGATGTAAATGTCATTTCATTCCCGTGCCTTTTTTTCACAGGGACAAGATCTCGAACGTCTGCCACACCCGAAGTTGACGATGTCATTGCCTTATAGGCTCCATCGTCTGGAGGACTGTTGAAATCTCCAGCGAGTAGTAGTGCAGCGGGAGTATAAATACTTTTGTAATGAATGGCCTTCTCCAAAATAATTTCAGCACTCTTTTGTCGAGAGATAGGACCAGCGTTATCCAAGTGAGTACTCATGATAATAACAATCTCGTTTGTCCTGCGATGCATAAATATACCTATAGTAAGTATTCTGATAGAACCAGCATCCCATCCAAAGCTAGGCTTCTCTGGAGTTTCGCTGAGCCAGAATGTTTTGTAGAGAACAAGATGCCACACCGCTGGGCGATAAAAGATGGGAGAGTATTCTCCAGCTTCTTTGCCATCATCTCTCCCAACTCCAAGACGAGACCACTGACTTCCAGGACCTTCATTCAAGGCATCGTGAATGTCGATAAGTTGAGAGTGGAGAACCTCTTGTAGACAGATAAAGGTCTCAGGAATAGTGGAATTAAACACTAGTTCGGAGCACAATCGAGGACATCGAACCGACCACAGTTCCTCCCCTTTGAATGGAGATTCCGTGGCATAACGAATGTTGTGAGTAAGAACTCGAATGGGAATCGAGATCGACTTCTTATCATCGGGAGGAGTGGAGACGACAAACCTCTCTCCTCCGGAGTCAAATAAACTCTTCTCGCGGGTCATCTCGCTACAATGAAGTGGAGTGAGAGGTTAATGTATTTTAGGAATCAATGATTGAATCCACAATCGTTTGCTGTCAACGTCTGATCAAGGTCAACCTAGCGATGTGACGGTTGAGTAATCGTGTTTTTCGTCTAACCTAACAACCCACGATAAATGTATTTGTGTGTAGGAGTCCAGGGGTAATCCCCAAAGAATATGAGAAGAATTGAAGAATTGAAGCTACAAGAACCAGGTTATGTCATGATAGAACTGTTGATATAGGTTAGTTCTTAAAAAGACATCAGCATCAAATGACCGGATGGAATTTTGCACGTCGCCATGCGTAGAGGCATATGAGGAATTCAGTATAACTATAACTAGCTGTAGATAGCTGTAGGTAGGTACCAAGGCAGAGGAAGGTTACATATTTGTCAGACGGTACAGAAAGCATTTGAGTGATGGGTGATATCATCCGATCTTAATGACAATGAAGGGGGCTATTCTGGGGATACGTAATCACTTTATTATTTGTAGAAACGCGATATGCAACAATGTGTGGATGGGCAAATAAGAGAGCAGAAATCCAGCATTTACAACATCACATGACTAACATCAATCAAAGTTTAGTGCGGGAGGGGCACTGACACTGAACACTGACTGGTACATATCTGCACTCCCGAATCACAACTTTGCCAACCTTCCCAACCTCATCACCTCATCACCTCATCATCTCATCACCCAACCACTTCGTCGTAACGATACGAATGCGAATGCCCTCTCAAAATCTAATCATCACCGTGCAGATTTTATCGACACTTACGGCCACGGTGATCGACACTTGATCATTTACACCTGCATTAGAACGAGAATGCGGATAGTCCGGATACTTCTTTTTGGCCATTCAAAGTGCTCATTGAACCATGAATGTGCCTGTGGCTTCACAATCCGATTTTAGTCACCGGACAAAGTGACAACAGGCTTACAGTGCTGATTGACCAAACAATCACGAGCATCATCCAACGAGACGCCCTTTGCGCGAAGCTAAATCATTATGGAGTCACACTTGAATGGTTTTCTTTCCGTCTTTGCATTCTTAATTACCCTTTTAATGCTATTTCCAAGGTTTTAATGCGCTTCACACATTTTTAATACTGCCTATCTGATATTGGAGGAGAATTTGGTGGTGTGGGTGTGATGTCTCACTAAAAGATGATTCACATATTCCCACATGCCCTTATCTAACAAGGCGCAATACGAAAAAGAATGACTAGTTCCTCTTGAGATTTTGCATGACTGACTATAAAGTGAACATGTCCTTCCGAATACGTCCTTGATTTCTGTACCCATTCCTGCCCTTTATAATCGCAGGAATCGCCACATTCGAATACTTTTCGAATTCAAATCACCAAGTTCCCCGCATTCGCCACAAGTACATAGACCGGCCTTGAGCCGGATCTATTGAGGGCGTTAATCTCCTACACATCACTCAAACTACACACAATGCCTTTCAATGAGCTCCAGCGCCGGGACTCCTGGCCTCCAACCATTATTCATCTCCGCGAAAACAACGCAGACATTGATGCGATTGATGAAGACCCATTCTCCTATTTCCTCACATCGCCAGACGAGATCACGGATGACGATATCGATGACCTCTCTGCCGGTATCATGTCTGATAACGAAGGCAAATCTGAAGTCCGGGAGATTTCTCCGTCCTCCTTACAGCGGGCGCCATTAGATGATGAGGAGGATGTTTTATTTGGATTTCCCATGCCTCTTAGCTTGAAGGACTTTACAGAAGTGCATGGGAATGGAAGGGAATCACGGGCTTCACACCGAATGGATCAACAGCTCAAAGGACTCGGAATCTCGATGTCCGATTTTACGACCAGCCGAGGTCGAGCGAAGGCACGGCCAACGCCTCCACAAGGCCGTGGTCGAGGCCAAACACGAAGCTTACCTTTGCGGAGACCTCACTCATGGCGCGAACCTAGTCCTGACCTGAGGTCTATCAAGGAGGAGAGTGAAGACGAAGAGGAAGCGAGGGAAGGCGGAAAGATGCCCTCGGTGGTTCTCAGCCAGGCTGTGGAGAGTTCAAAGCCGAAGAAGAAGGTTCACTGGGCACTTTGAATTGCGTTGTGTTTTGTCGTGGCGTGAAACAAATTGCATCTCATACTTTGCATTGCTTGGAGTCTGGATACAGGTATACCGCAAGGTTGGATTTTATTGAGCATATACCCGTCTGCATCTTTGTCTTTGGACTTTTTTTCTTTTATAGCATAGCATAGCATCGCATTGTCTTTAGCATAGTTTTGCACGGGTAATGTCAGGAATTGCATTATATCCATACCTAAGAATCTCTTCAGTGCTCATGTTTTGGTGCTTCCAACTATTGCATCTACTCACTAGAGATTAGACATCATGAATCAACATTAACACCTTGCTCACTACTCATCATCATTATCCTCAGGATTGAAAATTTGTTAATATACTCATACGAATGGAAAGCCACCATTACTACCCAATCATTCCTTTGGTAGATCGTAACTACATGATTGGTTTATCCTCCTCGTCCGCCTTGTCGTCCGCAGTCATCATGCACGCCCTCGTGCCTGGGTGCTCTTGCGCCCTCGTTGTTCCGTGTGCCCTCTGAGTTACCACCATCATAATACCATTTATTGTCCAGTTTAATCCATCTTTATGTGTACAATATTTGACTCATTCCCCGACCCATTGATTTAATTTCATTTATCGTACTGAAACTCAATAATTACAACCTTCACAATGACTTTACCTTCGGCGGAGCAGACATTCCCGACAGCCTTATCACGGATTGCGGGGTCTTGGTCGTCCCACCCTGAATCCTTGGGTGTATCGCACGTATCTTCAAACGTTATGGATGATTTGATGCAGGATGCACCTAATATCCCATTTTTGAATGATCCGATCGAGTCAAGCACATGGTTTACTCCTTATTTCGTACATGGTCTTCATGCTACTCAACTTGAACCGGGTCAAGACTCATATCAAGCAATTACCCCTACTCAACCGCCTCTCAACCAGTTATCGAGCTTTAATAAGAAAGCGAAGTCTAGATCCAATGCCTGCACACCCACCACAGATACCCACTTATCAGGTGCTATAGATCGAGTTAAAGAATCTGCTCGCATAGGCAAAACCAAAAAGTTTTCAGGGGGCGCTAGTGCCTCTGTTATCAGGAAAAGAGCCAGAGAACGGAAAGTTCATCTGTTTCAAGCATTTCCTCCGCTTGAGAAGGCAAAGGAAGCTTTACAACCTTATTCTAAATCGTCCAGATACTTCAGACAAAACTCCGAGTTCTTGTTTCTCCAGTTGGAGAAGCTCATAGATGAGGCCATTTGTTCAGATAATGCATCAGATTCTTCCTCAATGTCAGAATCATCAAATTTGGAATTGGATTCAGCATATGGATCACTTTCTGACATGCCACAACCGGACGTCTCGAGCTCTCTGTTTGATGAGCGGAATGTTCACCTTGGAAGGCAGGACACTGCACCATCCGGTATTCGGAACCCAGAACTTCATCCGGACGAAGAAACACCTAGACCAGCTCAGCCTTCATCGCCTACTTATTCCTGTACATACGGACGTGGAAGCGAGCGATGTCCATATGTTACAAGCAGAAAGTCAGATTGGATTCGACACGAAGAATCCGAGAAACATTGGCTATAGAAGCGTTATATGTGTATGCTCTGCGCCGAACCACAATCAGACGAAGATTTAAATCCTTGCTGCACTTACTGCTCTTTAGCACTCTCGACAATTGAGGAAGTGCACAGTCATAGATTGAATTGTATCGGAAGCAAGAAGAAAGGGCAAGACGTTCACAGGAGCAAAGACGGACCACTTCCAAGCTCATCTAGTCGACGTTCATCATCTTCCTGGCCTTGACACAACCTCTGCAGCCTGGACATATAATCAAACAACAAAATGGCCAAGTTACTGTGGCTTCTGTACATACTACTTCAAAGATTGGGAAGAGAGAAAGCATCATGTTGCCGAGCATTTCAAAAAAGGTGCCGAAATCTCAGATTGGAATCTCTTATTGCACAATCCCCGACGAAAAACCATGGATGAGCCCGGCTTATCTCCCAGAGACGGCGATGATGATGATGATGACGATGATGATGACGATAACTTGCACCAAAATGGCAGAGGAAGGTATCCTACATATGAAGCTACGCAAAGCACTTACTCCACGACTAGCAGTGACAGCAGTGGCTCTTTTGACCTATCAAATAATGGCTACTTGGACTGGAATAATAATGAAGGGGGATGGGGTCAGTATAATATTGATTCTGAGGAACGTTGCTCGAACTCACTTACGAGCCACATCAACCGCGCTCGGAAAAATCAACACGGGATGAAACGAAACAATCCTGGTCATGACGCCGATGACAACGAATTCATCAGCGACTCATATTCTATTAGTGAAAAGGCTTTAAGCCCCGAGCCAACAAACACTCTGTCGACAGCCTTTCAAGGCGTGGAGACGTATAAAACGAGTAAGTGGATTATTCTCAGCGCTCATCATTGTCAATTATCGCTTAACGATGAGTCAGGTACCACCCACATAGTTGGAATCGCCACTATACTTAAGTATCATCTCACGGAATCTACTACGGCCCCTGAGACAATCAATGACGCGTACGTGCGAAGAGAGGATGGGTCGTATCACAGAATAAGTCTGGCAATCATGGGAATCGAGAGGGAACCTTCGCAAGTCACACTTAATTCACAGAGGTATGTTACTATGTATTCTGGGGCATCTTTAATTAATACTAATGCAGAAATAGAAGTCTTCGAGAGTATTTTCATTCTTCTACGCATCCAAGCCGTTCAAGAGAGCGTTGGCAATCTTCCAAATTGCTTCGACAATGGCGAAAAGTGCACGCCAAAAAAGACAGAAAGCATTGCTTTGAATCTCCATGGAAACATTGTACTGAATTTGATGAGCCTTGCATCAGAGAAGATAGTTTAAGAAACCATCAGGCTCTCGATCGAATGCACCACTTTAGAGACCATCTGAAATCTCAACACCGAAGAGCAGCTGACTCTTTAAACCGTCTGCTATCTAAAATAACATTTAACCATCAGTCCAAGCTCTGTCCCCATGTCCCTGCCAAGGAATGGAAGATTCGCAGAGTATTCAAGACGTCCTACTCTGTTCCATTGCATCAACGCCCCGAGGAGTATGAAGATGAAAGTCTTCTCACATCTTTGACACGATCTCCTGGGGAGACAGTGGCAACTACATTTTTGATCTGTCGAATCGTTTTTTGAACAACAAACAAACTTTTGGACCAGGACAACTATTGCAAGAGGATTTCTCGGAATATACGCGTCACCGAATATATAGGGCAATGGGGCATTCCTATAAAAGAAAGCCAGATTGCCCTAGCCACCAAGAGTTTGAAGATCAACGATTATTGTGGCTAATTTTCGAATTCTGGGAGTGTAGAAGGTTGTCTGAAGAACAACTGACTTGGATGATCGAACCGAATTTCAAGCCTTTTGGGATTACATCAAATCGATCCAGAATTCAAAATGCGAAATCAGGATTTCCACAGTCGTTTGCGCTCGAAAGGTATCTTTCTGATTATGATCTATCCGAACATCTGGCGTACCTAGCTTCCCGACACGCTGGTGGCGATGCAAAAAGTGCCTCGAATGCAGCGATTGGATGTCTCCGTTTTACATCTAGTGAGGCAGCTCTCTCTCTGCACTTCCAGCAAGCAGCGTATTCTTTTGGCTTAGGTACATACAGGATTGAACCTAGGACATACAACTCACGGTTGCCGAGAAGTAGTCGACGTCCAAGATGTGAATACGCATTTACTTTTGGAAGGTGTAAGAGCTTTTGAGCCTTGCCGTACCACTATTGTTGATAATATTAAGACTTCTGTACTAGAAGAGAGCGATGGGAATGGGGAGCATCTTGGTAGCCAGCTTTTCTAATTTTTGGTTTCGGATGTTGTTTGAAAGATATTATAAGCATAAGCGTTGGGTTTCATTGGGGGTCAACGGATATTTTTCTTGATGGTGGAATTTAGGATCGCCATTATGCAAGAGATTCAGGGAGTTTGATAGATTTACTAGAAACTAGAGCGAGATCTTAGCATGGTGTTTGCGGAGTTAGGTGTGTTGCAGAGGGTTTATCTGTTGCTAGCCAAAACAACATTTCAAAATATCTAGATATGAGTACAAATCTAGTTTTTGTTTGTCTAACTCATCTTGAAAAGAGTCTTCACTTTGAGTATGATTGTGTGTATGTTGAGCTGGCATGAGCAAGCAATTCTGATTTGTTTGTCTACCTGCTTGTATATAATGGGCTCATATTCTCGGTAATTGCCAATACTTAAAAGACCAAAGGAATAAAGGGGCACAGAAAATTCGGCGTCTCTAGATATATTTCATTTTTTCGAAGATAGTCACTTGTATATGATTCACTGACTGAAAATCCAAGAATTATGACACTACCTACTTGAGATTAAATTATATAATGAATTTACAAATCAACATTGTCATACAGTGTCTTTAAAAAAAAAACACAGCCACTTCTCATCACTCATTAAAATTGAAGTTCCTTTATTCATCTGATATAGAACTTATAAAACCTGAGAGTCAGTTAGTTTCGTTTCTCTGGAAGTTTTGATACCTGGGTATTCAAGTTTGTTATTCAATGTTCTGGGTGATTGACTTGCTCATTTGCTGATTCGTTTAGGGACACCAGAATGCTAAATTAGCTATGGATACCTAGTCTGTTACAGTATTATGGGTAATTCTGAAACTTATTGAAAGGGAGTAATTACCTAAAGGGTTATTGGTCCTTAATTAATCTTGGTATGATGATGAGGTCCGAACTCCAGTGAAATTCAAGAATTCTATTTCATGGCTGTTGTAATGAATGATAGGGTTATTAGTTCCTAATCCTTATATAATTAGGTCCAAACTCTACCTAGTCACATTAAATAATTCTATTCCTTGCTATTCTAATGAATGATAGGTTTGGAATGAATGTTTCATTGTGTGATGTGATATGTTAGGCTAAGTCAAGCTAGTGTATATAGAAGTTCGGGTAATGTTTCTGGTTCGGATTCCGGATTCGCTTAGATTGGCATAGTGAACTTGATACAGTGGACTGGGGCAACTTACAACTTACAACTTGTATCTTACTACTTACTACGACTTACCAATTGGGACTTACCACTTGTATCTTACGACTTGCAGCTTGCTACTTCCTCTCAACTTCGAAAACACTCACAACCTACAACTTTCTCACTACTTCGAAACTCCTTACAACGCATTCCAAACATCCAGCTCGTCATAACAGAACCTTCAGACTTTTTACATTTTACATAATGGACAGCAATCCAGAAGCACATCACCTTGATTCCATCTCACAAGGAATCAATCTGCTCACAATCGATACTTCGGATGAAAGAAACACCCCAGAACCTGAACAACAGAACACCGAAGAGTATGCCACCAAGATAGCCTTGGAAACATCTCTACCAGATACAGAGACTGTTTCCACAACTTTAATTTCTGGATCTCAACAAAGTACCGTATCCCTTTGATCGTTAACTATTTGTTTACGTTTGGCTAACAAAAGATTGTGTCGTAGTTGGAACAAAAAGCGTTATACCTGAGATAATGTTTCAAATCATCGACTATCTCGATTTCGAAGATGATCTCCCAACCATCATCTGTGTCGCTCTAGCAGCGAAAGTTTGTTACGACTATGTAGTAATCCACAGAAGATTAGAGCATCTAAAACAAGGAGGAGACGAGTCAGAAGAAGGCTGCTATTTCAGAGGTCGTACCTCGATATGGAACCTTGATCTGGATCAGAGATTAGAGCTCGCTCCTCTTGAAAAACTGGGTTGGAAGCAATTACAGAACTGCGTCTCCGAAAACTATCACAGCCCTGTGTTTAACTTCGCGTGATTCAGAATACATGGAGACACCAAACGTTCTGTTTCTCTCCCGTGCAGCATATGGCGATTCATGGGAACAAGAATTTGTCTTGCCACAACGACACATGGACTATTATAACATGACAATGCCGTTCAGGTATAATTTTGTTCCTTACACTCCATACTTTCCACCTCCACTGCGCAATAAAGTCGACTGGTACGAAGACATGGCAAACTTCATCATTCATGATTACATCATGGGTGAATGGAATGAAGAAAGCCACAACGACATTGGCGGTTGGTTCGACCCTGGAAAGATAGTGCATACTTCACCGTATCACCCCCTGGGCTTGTGCGAAGCGCGGCGACAATTCTGGTTAGAGTACATGCACAGCAGTTTGCGAGATTAGGTGTACCACAGAAGACCATCAGAGTTTCAAGGCAAGGGGGATGGCAGTGACTTCCTTGTGGCAATTGAGGGCCGCCAAGTAACAACTGCTTATGACCGTCGGGAGAAACCCCTTGAATGGACTTACAATGGTCGGGATAGTTTCCATCGCGCAATATGTCATCGAGAGGGCGCGACAACGCAAGAGATGTTGAAGGCCATCGAGAGAGATATCAATGAGTCCTGGGGCATCTCATTTTGGGAAACTCATAGCAGTGACTAACTCGAGCACACTTTGGCTTGTCTAGCTCGGGAATTATCACGAGTAGTTGGAAGGGGTCTTCCAGTATTTCGTCAGCGTTTAGTATAGTTCTCAAGAATGCAACTTTTTCGTATTAAGAAGTTCCTCCATCATTGTGAGATCTAATAACCGAGTGACTTGTTCTCCACATATTTGTGTCCTAGCAACCAGATAACCTCTTCAACTTTTCTCAAATCACCTGAAAATTTTGAAATACAAAGTTAGAATTCTACATCACTTTATTCAGCCAAGCTCCTCCAGAAATGAATCATTCCACCATGGACATCTGCGATCAGACGGTCATCGCGACATCTGAACAAGACGCGGTAGCCGCCCATAACGTTGGAGATATGAACCACCACAGTGAAACAACCATGTCAGTAGACGCTGGCAAGAATCTTGTGATAACTACTGATATGGATCTGGCCCCTTCTTCTGAATACGGTAAGACAGACTCCCATCTCCGTCCGTCTACTCTCAAGTGACTAATAATATACAATCTTCTTACAGACAAAAAGCGAATTATGCCACCTGAGATGGTTGAGAAAATCCTCGATATCCTCTACAAGGAATACGATATGCCAACAATCTGGTGTATTGGTCTGTCGGCCCGAATCTACTATAAATATGTTGCCAAATTTCGCTATCGATATGGAATTCGTCTTACCAGAGAGGAAAAGCTAGAGCTAGCTCCACTTATCAAGAACTGGATGGGCGATCAATACCGAATGATGCGCTCAAAAACTATTGACACAATCGACTCGGCCCTCTTATTACAAAACAACACCATGTTTCTATCCCGAAAGATCTACGGTGACACAGACGCAAAGGAACGAGCTTTGTGCCAGAGGTTCAAAGATTATGATACTCTCATAGCTCCGTTGAGGTGGTTACCCTCCAGATCTGCATTCTACAATGATCTCCACGTTCCGAATCCAACTAGAAAGGGAATGGCCTGGTATGAGGAGATGGCTAAGTACTTGTTGCTTTACATTATTCAGAATTGGGAGAAAGGAGGCGGAAACCAAATCAGTTCCTGGTTTGAGAGTCGAGAATTGCCAGAGTATCCTGCTCGTCACCATTTCTGGCAGGAATACTTGCACAGTAGTTTGAGAGCATGGGTTCATTTTGAAGGAGAAGAGTTTGGTGGTAAACCTTTGCGAAAAAAGTTTGTATGTACTGAGCCCGGTCAATACGATCTGCCATATTCGAGGAAGCCAAATTGGACTTATAATGGTTGTGATAATTTACATAGGGGTTGTTATATTCAAGAGGGCGAGAGCAAGGAGGAGATTATTCAGATGATACCGGGTCACAATATCCTCAAATGGTTGTTGCATTATGATGGCCAGGGTTGGATTTACAGGGCTATCTGTTTTCCGAAAGGGACTTCGATGAAAGAAGTGTTGAAAAACTTTGAGAGAGATATTGAGGAGTCTTGGGGTCCGTTGGATTAGAGATATGAAGTTTGGAGGAAGAAGAGTACGGCTTATTATTCCACCATTCTCTTAAGAGTCTTACATACAGGCAGTTTGGAAGTAAGGTGCTATCAGGAGTCGACTCAGCTCATGTATCATCAGCAACTTGACAAAGTGCAATTCAATCTAATACAGTCTCATAATCTTTTCCTGATGCTTCAATGCTAAAAGACGCCTTTAGCATGGCCAGTTATATGAGGTCTATCTGGAAGTAAAACAGCACACTGCAGATGCCTGCTTACAATGCTGATAGCAGAAGCACGTTCGACTAGTTTGGTCCAAGAGCTTGTATGTGATTGTACTTCTTTATTATTCCGAGCCTATTTTGTCTATATTATCAGTCATAGCACATAGTTTATAAACTTAGCAATGTACGTAGCTGAACAATAACATCATTTTATTGTGAGAAAGTAATAATTACAGTTGATCTCCCTGCTAGCCTGTCCTGTTGGAGCTTTTGATATGTAACATAATCGATGGAATGGAAGACCCTACCTTATTCCCTGAATTAGTTCCGATGGCGTGTAGAAACATGAAGGTAGCACAGCAAGTTATTGAAGGTTGAAGAAGAAACACTTCAAGAATTGAATGTAACTAGCCAGCTCATTGATCAGAATTCAAGAACTGATCCATGAAATCAAACCAAAAAACAAAGAATTTTCAGCTCCTCCTTCGAATATGATGCTTATCACTACACAATATGCAGTTTTGGCATCCATGATCCCCATGTACGCCTCATGGCCAGTAACCCTCATTACATGCAGTGACTTCTAGTTTCATAGCCTTCTAAGCATATGATCTGATTGTCTCACTTGTTCCTTAAGCTTCTTCAACTCTGCTGAATCTTTTTTGTCCCTCCTGCGTACCCATTTCCACAATACACTATCAAGATGCGAAAGATAAAACCCATTCGAAATGTATTCCGGGTGCCGGCCAATAATTGCGACACTGTTTTGTTGATATTTCTCACAGCTGACGATTATATTGAGTAATTCTCGGGCCGCTGTGGGATACCATTGCATCCCCATTCCGTAGGGACTTGACAATGTCTTAAGTATCGGAGAATGAAAAGACGCGTTTGATGGCCAATTTTTAAATGGGAACTATTTCCAATGTCGAAGTCTCTCTGCGAGTTTCTTTTCACTGGGTTGGATGGAACCGTCTTCAGATAAATCTCCGTAAACCTTGCGGCGTAAGAAGATGATCTGGCAGCCAATCGTCTCATTGAGAAAGAGTTCCGAGACCTGGCGATAGTCAGGTCCAATCCATGTCTCCAGTGACTTTGCGAGTCGTCTCATGCCGTATCTATCGAGGAAAGGTTGTTCCAAGGAAGTTGGGAAACATGATGAGGTAGCTGATCTCTGTTGCATCGGATAGTGTGTTTTGAGGAAGTCCCAGTATAGACGTGCGGTAAGACCGAGGCAGAGTATTGTAGGTCGATTCAATTTCTCACCTTCGGCTTCTAACAGAACTTCGATGATCCGGAGAATGATCTCAGGTAGTAGGAGCTGTTTGCTGTAGGGTGTAGCTGCTGCCGTTGTTGTAGTCAAATTTTCGCCTGTGTCTGGATAATCGATCATTGGAGCATGGATGCCGATCTTGATGGAACTTTGTGGCATGGCCATTGCTAAGGACGAGCGCGTTCTCTTTCTTGTATTGAGAGACCCAATGTAAGTGGTCGCGTTATTGCTTGTGCAGGTTAAGAAGAAAGAGAGATCGAAAGGCTGGTTTCTAGTTTTGCTGAGGAAACGGTACAATTAAGCATTTATGAAGATTTGGATGAATTTCAAATCAAACCAAGTAATGAAGAAAGCTGTACAGATTAATGAGTAGTATAGTTATTGCGCAGTCCAAGATGAACGTTCTTGAAGATGAACAGGAATGGTGTCGGGTTCGGCTAAATTCAAAAGCCAGCCGAGCTGTATCAAAGAACTGGAGAACTACCTAGGTAAACGGTGAAGATTGATACATATACCGAGAGAAAATTTATGGCAGAAGGAACTTGTTAGTTCTATTCAAGAGAATTTTGTAGCGTCTAATAAACACAAAATATAGGAAATTAGACTGTATTTTTTCATTATGATCAATTCCAATTGACGTATAAAAAGATTGATTTGCTTTGAGTAACTATCTACACAGTCACCAATAAATGCATGATTTAGCTAAGCTTACTTTATGTCAGAGTAAACCATCTTAAAAGACTCATGGGCAACTAAATTTTGGTTTTCAACGTCAAGCTCAACAGTTCACATCAACAGCTATGGGATTTCTTGAAAAACACTAAGGAAATCCAAATGGAGATTCATTGAGATAGTTAACAGCCATAGAAGATGTAAAATTGTACTCAAACAGCAATATGTCTATCAATTACTGCTCTACCGATCTGCCTTGCTCTTAAATTTCTCTTTTTCACCATTATTACTCGTTTAGTCTGATATCTGAATCCATTGAAACTGTAAGCTACTTTGTTTGAGTGCAACACTAATTAGATATCCATTAGCTATGATAATATAGAACTAAGAATACAATTTTAGGAAGCAAGACAACAACTCACTTCTTTTGGCAACGGCAACTTCACGATCAGTCATCCTTGGTCTTATCCTTGGTCTTGACAGCAGCAGAGCTTGTTGATGCAGTTGTATTTGGGGAAGTTTCCATTGTGAACTCCATCACAATTCTGGGACTCTCCTCGGTCTCAGCCTCTTTGTTTGTACCGGTAGCTGTAAGCTTCGAAGACATTGAAGGAGTAGCTGAAATGGTAGCTGACAAACAATTAGTAAATCAACTCAAGCAGAGACTAAATTATTAAGGATCGTACCATGTGGATAAACAAAGGATGGGGTTCCAATTGGATCACGTCCAGGAAACCTGGACATTGCTCTTTCATATTGTCTTCTCAAGCGTATTTCTTCCTGTTTATACTTGTTCACATGATCGATCCTTCGTTGAATAAACTCTTTCAGAACTGCATCGGCGTCGCTCTCTTTGCTGCTGGAATCGCTATCTTTCTTTATTCTCATGGGGTCCTTCTGTTGAGATACACTCTGAAGTGATGATAAGGAATCTTTTAACTTGTTAATACTAAGGTAGAAATTAAGAACTGGTAAAGAAACCTACCACATTTTAGGATGACTATCAAAGATCTCGGAGCGAGAACACTTCGGCTAAGACACTCATCATATTTCAACTTCCTGCGTTTGTTTATATTTTGCCTTGAGGGATCTTCTTCGAACTCCTCACTTTTGCGTTCGTTGGTGGAGGAAGTATCTGTATTCAGGGAAACTTCTTGTTGACATTGCTTGTATGGTGTACGTGGTGGATGTGAATCAAATGTCACCCTTTGTGCTGATACTTCGTTTCCCATTGTGTTTGAGGAATAGATGCTGTGAGAATGTGAAGCTTGTTTGAAAAAAAAATTGTGGACTGTTTTAGGAAGCTCTCGAAAGTTTGGTATTGCTATTGAAGAATTAAAGTTTGTGCGGGAGAAATTAGATTTTGGCTAACTAGATTTTGGCTAACCGATTTGGAGCTCGGGAAATACAACCACAAATTTCCGGGTTTTTGGAAGAACTTATATTCACTACCCGTCGGCTTTTTAAGTAGCCGACTAGTTCCTATATTGGGTAGATACAGGAAGAGAAGAATGGTGCAGAAATTCTATTTTACCAGCTTATTGAGAAGTATTACTACTACAGCACCCAGCATGTGCCTCTAAAATCAGGAGTTGAAAATTCATTGAGCAAATGTCAATGCCAGGATTGTTAAAACAGACTTATTACAAACAATCCCTCTGTTGGTTTTAGACATTGTTTGGAGATAAGACTAGATTGGTTCCACGCCTGCTTTTTATATATATAGCCAGATGCCTATTATCAATCCGAAAGGTATACAGGTCGTTTGTCTAATGTTCTTGCCTATTTGAGAAACATGTTAGCTCACTCATTGAATCTTCGGATAGATAAAGGTATGCAAGCAACTCGCCTCCCTTAAAACTAACATTCCTTCCTAAGGTTTTTTCTTGGTCTAATGTCATGAAAGATGGGTTGTATGAACGCAGCCAGACGACGTGCCAAGAAGGCTAAACCCGCCCAAGAGCTCGAAGGAGGCAACAAGGCTATCGAAAACACTTGTCTTCAGAGCAGTGTCTTTCTGTTGTTCAGGAGACTCAGCACTCCCGAAGGCGAAGAGAATCATTTCCAAATCGTTGATCCCAAAGACTTTATGGATGAATCAGGTAAGTCATAGTGACTTGTTCAACCCACACTAACTCAATCATCTGTGATGTAGTCGCTAATTTCAAACTACTACAGATACCAATGTCTCCCTTTTGACTTCTATAATTACGGAACCCGTTTTCCCTAGGTAACTTTTTCTGCAGATTTTTGGCATCCTTCTGAAAGGTGTACCAAGAGGTAACTTCGCAGAATCAGAGGCAAGCATTGTACAGAATGTTGTAGCTACAGTTTGTCTGGGCCTTACAAATTCTGAGAATTGGGCTCTTTTGCATCGTGCCACCAAGACTCCTCGGAGCTGGCCTACATGGTTTACCCTTCGGGGAATCAGCAAACATACCAAAACTCGGCGTCGTGCATTAGAAGAAGGCCTCATATCTCAACTTCAATCCTAGATACTGCCCAAATATCAGTGGCGCGAATCGAAAACCTCGGACGTGGTAGCGTTCTGGATTTTGAAGTTCCGCGCCACACTCATGGCAACACGCTGTTCTTGTCTCGTGAAGTCTATGGATATGGTCTTGATTGGGACGAGGAAGGGATAAGGTTAGTTAAACGATATACGGACCGAAAGATAATTCTACATAGAGCTCACTGTTACCAATGCGAGAAAAGACGGACGAACCAATTTGACTTAGTCTTTGGTGTGTCATATAGATCAAGGTCGGCATCATATTCCCTTATACTACATGGTCTTCTAAGCTTCCACGTGAACTCAGACTACCCAAGCCTTTCGGTATGGGTCAAGAGTGGTGTGAGGCTGTAGCTATATATTATTACAATAACGTCGTTGTCTGCTGGAAAGGATGGGACAGAGAAGGAACGCAGAGAGCTTGGTATTATTTCCAGAAAACCGATTTTCATACATAGGTAATGAGAAAGGATAACGAAGATAGTCTCATACCTGAGGTATTGAAAGTAAAAATGTTTCAGGAGAGTAGAGTCTACGTAAAATCCACCACGTAGCCTTGTCAGCAAGTAGAGGAAAAGTAAGGCGAAGGAAAAACATCATGCAAATCTAAATACTTTTGATCTGAGGATGATATAAGATCTTTGTACTCCGAAGAAGGATCACTTTGGATGTAAATTCTAGAAAAGTGATTTTAGAGATGATTGTGGAGGTTGTGGTAGGAAGTTGTGTTTAGTTGTTCATAGCATCCATTGTCCCTCAGCAATTATTTGTCATTAGAGAACAATGAAAAACATATTACAAACTGACAATCATCTTATGATTGTTCTGTGTGTTCTTATTATGCAGCAAATGCTGTATATTGATCGAATTGATCAATTCATGCATATCTGGAAAAGATTACTATTCGCATTCAGAAAGAAGGGTGCATGTTTTCCTGCTTTAATGATTATCTGTCTGATTTTTTGGCCTATCTTTATCCTTAACCAACAATTGCTTACTGTGTCTCAATGATTTGATGAAGTTTCTACCGAAAACTGCAATATCACAGCAATAATTGATTGCATAGTCCTTGATTTTTTGGGAAAATCGTGTAAAACTAAACGTCAAACAAACTGGAGTTTACCCCCTAGTGTGTCACATAAGTATTGATGAGTAGATCTTTCACATCTTATGCTTATAAAGGTAGTTGTCATTCTATCCATCTGTCATAGCTATTTCTTGTTCTCGTCTAGCAATTATGGTGTCAAACACAGTCATCCCCCATCATTTTGCAAAGCCTTTTAATTTCTATATTTCATCACCACATGATCACTGATAACATGTACTATTTATAGTCTCCTATCCAGAAAGACACTTGACAGAGAATCACAAACTTATGCTTGAAGATATGATACATTTTAAAATATATACAGATATTACTCAATGCTTAACCTAGTATGTACATAAGATGCTGTTTTGTATACTTTCACCATTTTCTAGTAAACTAATTTAAATAAATATTCTCTTTACTTTAATCACCATTGAAGAGCCTATACCCCATTCTTCGATTATGTCATAACCATCAGAAATCTCATTTTGGACCTTGGCCCTCGGCCCTCCGGTTCGCTTGTGACTATAAGCCTCTTACAGCAGAGGCTGGTAAATTAGGTTGAGCTATTTTCCTGAAACATTACTTTCTTAGACATATAGTCTTCCAACTAATTTATTGACACACACAAAACTTCTGAAAACTTCTCAAAACTTCTCAAAACTTCTCTTGACTACTGTTTGCTTTCTGTTTACCTCAGTCATAGCAGACTTCTAACCACCATAATTTGACAATGACGAGCAATAATACATCAAGCTCACATCCTCTACAAGACGCAGAGTTACCAACAGGCTCGGCGCCATCTAATAATATGATGAGCCAAGCGCTTTCCTCGGGGTGGGTGCTGAGGTCCGACACCAAACCCAACAATAAGAGAGCTTTGGACCTACAGGTAGCCTCAGCAAAACAACAGAAGCGGCGATGCAACATACCTGTTCTAGAAGGAGAGGCTGGAGAGGACGGAGTTGTCGTTGGCGGAATTCTGAAAGTGAAGGCAAAACACAGAGACCTAGCACAAGGTAAGCCACCAAGCTCATGGCGTGTGCGCTTGAAGGGAACTGAAACTGATTCTCGGTTAAGCTTTTCTCATAAGAGATGATGGCACAGACTTGGTGATTCCGCACGAGGTATTTCTCCGCGTTCTCGATGTTCTTTACAAAAAGGATGACATCGCGACGTTGATTTGCCTGGGGCTTGCGAGGAAAGTATTTTGGTGCTATAAAAAGCGACAGCATCATCGCAATTACTCAAAGCTTTCACCATTGACTAAGATAACGTTGGCACCACGTTTGCATGAGTGGATGGGCTTGAGTTATCGAATCGCCTCAAAGAGAACGTTGTCACTTGCAGCCCGCAATCAATGCAACGTGATGTATCTATCACGGCAGGTTTACGGCAAGAGAGGTAGCGACGAGGAGACTGCCATGACTGGCAGATACCACACTCGTATTAATCTACAGATTCCACAACCAGGGGTTCGAGGATGGCCTCTTTACAGAACGCTTGTCTCACCATTCGGCGAAGGTGTCGAGTGGTACGAAAGAGCACTCAATGATATCTTGCAGCGAGCAAAGCTCTGGAGGCAAGGATCAGGAGTTCGTTGGGACGAAGCTTTGGATCATTTCTGGAGCAGTTACTTCTCTGACCCTTTTAAAGAGTGGGTAGGAGACTACACGGAGGAAGGGGAGCACACCGATGGTGGTCAATATGAGCTTTTCGCTGCGAAACAAAAGTTCGAAGCATGGGAAGAGCAGTTCCTGGAAGGATATCGGCTATGGGAGGAGGAAGACGATTAATACTAGCTGGTTACATTTCGGGCTGGGGAAATGTCAATATGGCACATATACTGGGTTTTGTTTTCATAGTGATAATAGTTGGAAAATTGTTTACGAAGCTATCGGTGGGCGGCAAAATTCAATCATCTTTTGAAAATCATCTCAGTGGTACTTTTATAGTTCTAGAGAAATGAAATAACATTGAAACTTCATCTATTGCTTATTCATGCCTCAAGCTGACTTGTCTAATGGCTTCCATCATGGACTCATAGAACCTGGGTGATATCCTGCACCATCGTTTCATTAACAGCACCAGCGATATTCGTATCTTCCAAATCGCGATTATTTGCCTCAAAATGTTTCACCTTCTTGTCAAACTTGAGTAAAGTCTTCTTGACCTCTTGCCTTCCTTTCATTCCCTCGTCGTCCATCCAATCTTCATGAAACTGATTAAAACTATTCCCACTGACCCAGTCCCACAGACAGGTATCTTGAAAAGTATGCCACGACTCACAAATGGCTTTGAATCCAGGACCGTCACCATTTAATGTTGAATATTCCCATTCCTCAACCAGAAATAAGTATTCAGAGGCACTAGCGTCGTACCAAGAATGACCCATTTCATACGGGCTTGGTAAACCAATCGTGTTATCTATCATCGCATGTAAGCCGCGGCTGGACTTTAGCTGCAGACCATCTAGATTTGTAGCATCGAGGATGGAGAGACAGGCAACGTATCTTTTCTCCAATCTTTTTTCTTCTCTCGTATACCCCTCCCCGTATTGATTCTTTGAAAGAAACATGGGGACCAAGCCTGAACCACCTTTACCATCCTTCCCCGACATTATTCGATATCTTTCCGGAACCCAATTCTGTAGCGAAGGTGCTAGAAGTACTTGGTCTTCTTTGGGTAGGTATCCCTCGTAGATTGTATCACTGCCCTGGGGACACCATCGGGCTTTGAAAAAGGCCCAGTGAAGTTTACAGGTGAGTCCGAAGCATATTGAAGAGATGAGCTTTCCATCTTCCTGTTCACAAACGGTATCGACGATTTGACGAATTACCAAACCTGGAAGATCGGCGAAACACTTTGCTGATTTGGTTCTGATAGTTTCTCTAGACAAACGATGATTTGTAACTTTCTCTAAGATGGGTTTATTCATAGACTCAACCTGGAGCACTCCGTCGATTTTATTATTCACTTCGTTGGGCGAGTCGACCGCCGCTGTCTTTTGGTGCTTCGATCCTGATCCATCTAACAAAAGAGAAGATAGATTGGTGGAATGTTTTGGCTGCCCCTTATTTTCCTGATTTTTTGCACTACTTGGCATGGTGTCCAACTTCCGTTTGCACCGTAGAGCCATGCTGGCATGTGCTGGTGATGTGTTTTTTGAGGGAGTCGAATGTGACTGTGCGGGAAAAATTGCAGGCTCTCCTGTTTCCTCTTCATCTTCGGTTCCACTGTCTTCCACATCTTCTGGTATCTTCGGCATGCCGTTTCTTCCGCGCTTGACTCCCAGATTGATGATCTCTTTATTGTGTGAGAGGCCCTTCGTTTTGAGTTCTGGTGTTGACGATGAGGTAATGCTCGTGTTTCCTTGTTGAATCTTCGGCATAAGGTTTTGTCCACTAATGTATCCTTCACCTCTTTGAGTCATATTGCTATGACATTTCTTGAAATGAGGTGCTTGTTTTGAATTCTTTGAAGTTAAAATAGTGTCTTCTTCTAGCTGTTGAAGTGCCAATGCAAGCTCTCTGCCATACTTGGGTCCAGGGACCGTGCCCTTAGCGATCGGAAGGTTGAGTGAATTTCCTGTGTATTCTGAAAGCGCAGAACGAATAACCTTTTCCTCCTCGCTATCGTCGCCCTCTTCACTGTATCGATCTTCTTCGTTTCTGGTAGCAGTGTTACTGCCCTTGTGTCTTTCAGGCATATCTTCATTGGGCGGCAGACACTTAATTTTTGCTGTATATTTCTTAACTGGAACATAGCGGTCTTCTTTTTCTTCATCATCTGTAGTTTCGCTACTATGCTGATGCGGATGTGCCTGACTCCAACCGTTTGCAACAACTGAAATACTTCGGGTCTTTCTTACATCGCTCGAAATTGACCTGGTGATCTTTTTACCTTCTTCAGCACCATCCTCACTCCTATTCTCATTCTCACTTTCGTGATTCTCGCTCTCTAGTTCCTCGATTTCTGTATCCTCGCTTTCTGAAACTAAGTTTATGACCACAGGAGCTTCTCTTCGAGGCTTCCTTGTTTGATTGACTGTCGATGGCAAACTTCCATTATTTTCTCGACGAATTCGGCTGAGTACGACCCTTCTTTCGAGTTTTCTTCTTGGAGCTAGTCTTGTTTTGGTCTTGCGTCCGTGAGCCTCCTTGGCTTTGGCGAGTAGACCTTTTCTTTTTCTAAGAGAGCAATTCCGAGATGGAACCAATCTGGCCTCAGAGTGGAGTAGGTATAGAGTATGGGAAAGGCGGCTTGAGAGCTGATCAAGTTTTTGCGATGGTCTTGGGGGTATATTTTTTCTGACTTGTTTTGGCATATTGAGGAGAGAAACAAAACTCTGGTTTAGTTGAGGTAAGTGTGGTGAGAATATAAGCGGGCTCGTTTTTTTGATTGAAAACTTTAATCGTGTAATTTTGCGTGATCTTGATTGATTGAAAATGAGACGGAATGAATTTTGGACTTCTTCAGATCTGAAGTTCTACGAGTATTTGACTTTTTATCTTGGGGCGGCTAGAGCCTCTATAAGCCCTTGATTATTCACATACGGCTCTGGCACAATTCATCCATCGACGTAAGTGTTCTCGGCGTCGTACTCTCTGCCGCACTCGCATAAGTAGGGCTGAGAACTCAGCACTATTTTGCGGCCGTTCTACGCTGCTACGTTTCAGCCGCAGTATCAGTAGTCTTACAAGTGTCTGATTGTTACGCCGCACTCTCATTGAGAAGCCACAAAATCACTGCCTTGATTGCTTGTTCACAGTCATTCGTTGAGATTCCTGTCTTTTCTTGTAGCGTTCCATGAGATTCGAGAAGACGACAATGACTTTCTGGTGTGTGGGGCGAATGACTGCATGACTTGAGCGCATTGAAAGTTGACACTTTACATAATTGAATGGTGTTAATTTGGTAGTAGGAATTGGAATCTTGCAAAAAGGGATATTCGCGTGAAATCATACGATGACCAAATTTCATTCACAGATATCTTGAAAAGTGACACCATACATATCAGTGGTAAATAGATATTAAAATTCACATTACATCAACTATTCGTGAAGAACTTCGCAAAGACTTGTAGCCTATGTTTATTTAGAGGTGATAGAATTGGTGCCTTGAGCGCTCAGCTCAGGCTTAACTAGTAATTATTCTCCCGTGCATAATAACTTGAAAGAAAAAATCTTTCACGGAGAGTTGATAACTTTTGCTCAAACACCCAAAAACTATCTGCCGAGCGATCCCGCACGACTACCTCTAATTACCTCACTACGACACATCTCAGCTAGCTCTGAGCCCATTCGACCTAGAAGTGCGTCCCAGCGCCATGTCTCATTTGTCTATTGGAGCTTCACCTGCCTTTCCAAACGAATGTTTGCTCACAAGTTTGATTTCTTAAGCTTCTCCGTCGACTTTAAACGCCGACCACGTCGAGTATTTTGAATAAAACTCGTACCTCTACGCTGTCTTCTGCTGCGCTTCAATCTGACAGAGCTCTTTTCAACGAATTCGAATGGAGATCCTAGCTTGGATGTATGGCATTTGAATTCAGCATCGTGGTCACTGATCAACTCGGGCGTAATATGGATCCAGTCATCTAGAGCTTCTGCTTCCTCAAAGCACCGTTTTTTGTTGCGTTTTCCAGCTCTGAAAAGTTTTCGAGATGGGGCGCTCGTAAAGTTAGCGGATGTTTGGTGCCGACTAAAAGGCGATGGAAGGAGGGTTTTAAAAGTGGAATCTTGTAATGTAGCGTGGTTGTTTCGATTCATTTATTGAAGGTCTTTTAGATTGTGTTGGAGAAAGATGTTCTCCGTGATTCTTGAAACTGTGTATAAAAGAGGCTAATTAAACACAGATATCTGCCGCTTGTCTCCTGACGTGAGGACGCTGCAGGCGTTAAACGTTTCCAAATCTGGAATGTTGATATAAAATTTTTGAAGACTCAGATGTCAAAAATACGTGCATGAACTTGAAATGTTGCGAACTTATACATTTTTTTTTCCGGCTGTTCACCCACCCTGCTTAATCGCACGCCTGAACTAATTAACTCTTAATCTGCAGCTTGATCGGCTAGTGAACATTCAATGCACCCGGACCAATTAAAATTGAGTTCGAATCGTAGCGTCATAGCTAAGCGAGTAGACGTTTGTCCCAGTTCGGACCGCCCATACCATAGAACAAGATTATGTGTGAATTACCTCAGCAACGATTCCGTAAGTAATAAAGATGTCTCAAATCATGAATGTGAGATTCTATAATAAGTATACTAAATCACTTATTAATATCTTACTAATTAAGAGATATATTAATGACTAATACAGGTATAATATGATTTTATATTATAAAATTATATTAACTTATATTAATATTATATTATTATGTCTCTTATCAAATTGACTTATAATAATATAAGAATGAGATGAAATCATATAAAAGATTGCTAATGAAACAAACTAAATTAATTAATTATAAGATTACTTTCTTTTTATAATATAAATGATTCTATAAGATTCGATTTAAGTCGATCTTATTTATAAGTATAAAAACTATTAAAATTTCACTATAAACTATTTAAACCTAGGATATTCTTTAAGGAAAATCTAGAAAAAACAAGCAAATTCAAATCAATTAAAACTCTTTCTTATAAACTGACTTCAATTCAACTATTATATTATATGTTTGATTTATTCTTAAAGCTTAAAGTAACTAAACCTTTAATTACTACTAGAATACTTGTATAATTGTTATTGTTATCTAGAGCTAACCTTTAAGAACTTGTATAATTATGTATATAATATAGCTCAAAATGATTCACTCATTACAAAGCCAAAGTCACAGGTCCTAAGTTTCAAGAGATAAATTGTTAATAAATCTTGCATATTTCTTACTTCTACTTCTCATCCTCATGGGCATTTACTTTGATTTTGTCTTTACCACGCAGACACTCATACTCACATCCACAAGAGAAAAAACCAAGACTCAACACATCTCTCCAACTCACACAATTCCTTTATTCTCCTCCTTCCCTTGCGCCTTCCTTCTTCCTTTCACTCTGCTGAAAACAAGCCCAAATTAACTCCACTCCACTCAATTCCGAGATTTGTTGATACACCCACCTATTAATCCATCTGTTGGGACAGTGATCTAGCGTTGACGCTAGCGTCTTCCGACACTACAGTAATACGTTTCGTAGCCCTAGCTTTTAGAACCTCAAGCAATATAACAACAGTGTGAACCATAGTACTATATTGACTTCACCATCCCCATGGTGATACCAACACCATCCAAGCCTCACAAATCCATACCTCCCCAAACTCACTCTTTCACCCTTCCTTGCAAGAACTAACTTCCCAAGACCCTCTCCCTCTATTTCCCTTCCCATCAAATCCCCATCTCCATCCAATTCCCTTACCTATCCTTCCCACCCTTCTCCGCTGCCTCCCGTTTACCCCAGAATTCTTAATCTATTCTTCTTTCGCCTTTCCCTTTTCTTATCTCTAAACTCCACTTTCCCCTTTTCTTCTCCTCTCCTTAGGAATCCTTACTTCTCACTCTCCATCTCCATCTCCTCTCTCCCACTCTGCCCCACTCTGTCCCTCACTCTTCACTCTTCACTCTCCATCTCCATCTCCTCTCTCCCTCACCCTTCACTTTTCACTCTTCACTCTTCATCTCCTCTCTCCCCCACTCTTCACTTCTCTCTTTATCTTCTCCTCTCCCTAGGAATTCTAACCTCTTACTCTCCCTCAGCTCCTCAAACCTCCTTGACATCCGAGGACCGAAGGAGATATAAGCTTCACCTTCCATAACCACCTGGGTATAACCGAGTACTACCCGAAGAGAACTAACTACCCGAACACTATCCGGCTATTACCCGAAGAGAACTATCCAAAGAAGAATTAAGATAACACCACCTAAAACATTCACGTCTATCAAAGATTTCATCCTCAACTATCTGTCATATATATCCCATGTACTTCCTTTCCTTTCCTTTCATTTCATTTCATTTTGTTTCAGTTCATTCCAGTTCCTCTCATTCAATGATATTCAATAATATATTCGTTACAACTTCCTAGTCACTACATAAATAAATGAATTTTATCTTATCCACCCCCGATCCCCATACTATCCCACAAAGTAAAGATTAAATAAACATATCGACATAACTCTGTCTAATCATATCCTTCCATTCTATTCCCCCACTCATACATCCATCCATCAATCCACGCTTTGTAACCTGAAGACCTCCCAGTTCATCATCCAACAAACATTGAAAGACTCCAGTACCAGGTCCAATCCTTTCCCATTTAAACATCAAACCACCTTCATCCATTAATGAAGAAACCATTTTCCCTTGGATTTCTATTAACTCCCAATTTCCAAACTCCCATCATAAATTCCATTTGATATTTACCAATAAATATCTTTAAAGAAAGCCATCAACGATGATATGAACATTGCAAAAAGGTATCTTTCCATCCGTCCATAAACAGCCAGTCGGCCATTAATTTAAATCAAACCCAAAAGTAATGAAAATCCTCGTCGCTTCCTCTCAAGGTGTCGTCTCCTCCTCAATAAATCGCGTACCTTCGCTCTCCTTTTCCTGCCCTTCTGCTTCACCCTTGAAACTGTAAAGTCTAACCTCGCAATCCTCACTTCCGGTACACATCCTACTATCACTCAATCCAATACATGTGACGGGACCTCGATGACCCGTGAATGTCCTATCACATTTTCCCGTCCTCGCATCCCATACTTTTGTCATCATATCTTGAGCTCCACTCACAACTCTCAATGTGTCACCTGCGAGTGCCCATACACCTTCTACATGACCAAAGAGTGTTTTAAGACAGCGACCTGTTGATACATCCCAGAGACGAAGGTTATTATCCAAAGCACCGGTAAGAATATAGCGAGGAGGACGAGGGCGACCTGCTGGCCAAGAATCAAAAAGAGAAGAGCCTTGAGATGAAGAACAACTTTCTCCTATTGGCCGGTTGAGTTCAGTTGATGATGCTGTACTAGATGTTCCATCATCTGCTTCTTCAACATCCACATCATCAAATTCATACTCTGGGGGTAGAATGGTGACTTGTTGAACTGGACCCACATGACCTTCGAAAGTCTTGATCGTACGTCGAGTGTCCAAATCCCAAAGTCGAATAGTACAATCATCAGAAGCTGAAAATAATGTTCTAGAAGCTGAATCGACTTTGACAGCATTAACCCAATCTTTATGACCCCGTAAACCAAATGTAGATTTGTCTTCAAAATTCCAGACCTTAACCGTTCGGTCAATAGAACCTGAGGCAAGAAGATTTCCTT